TAGCCTTACTTTTTTACCAAAATTCGAGGTCTTTTAAAATTGTTATGTCCGTCATTAATAAGCCTTCCTGCTAAACCAAATACTAATAAAACGCCGTTTCAGGTGATTTAGAGCAGAAAAATGATCGTTTTGTCTGATTTTAGAAAAAACGAAAATTGAAGAAATTTGGCAAGGCTATAGCCTTACTTTTATACCAAATTTCGAGGTCTTTGAAAATTGTTATGTCCGTCATTATTAAGCCTTGCTGCTAAGCCAAATACTAATAACACGCCGTTTTAGGTGATTTAGAGCTGAAAAAGGATCGTTTCTTCTGATTTTAGAAAAAACGAAAATTGGAGAAATTTTTCAAGCCTATAGTCTAACTTTTTACCAAATTTCGAGGTCTTTTAAAGTTGTTATGTCCGTCAATAAAAAGCCTTGCTGCTAAGCCAAATACTAATAAAACACCGTTTCAGGTGATTTAGAGGAGAAAATTGATCGTTTTTTCTGATTTTAGAAAAAATGAAAATTGGAGAAATTTGTCAAGCCTATAGCCTTACTTTTTTACCAAAATTCGAGGTCTTTTAAAATTGTTATGTCCGTCATTAATAAGCCTTCCTGCTAAACCAAATACTAATAAAACGCCGTTTCAGGTGATTTAGAGCAGAAAAAGGATCGTTTCTTTTGATTTTAGAAAAAACGAAAATTGGAGAAATTTTTCAAACCTATAGTCTTACTTTTTACCAAATTTTGAGGTCTTTGAAAATTGTTATGTCCGTCATTATTAAGCCTTGCTGCTAAGCCAAATACTAATAACACGCCGTTTTAGGTGATTTAGAGCTGAAAAAGGATCGTTTCTTCTGATTTTAGAAAAAACGAAAATTGGAGAAATTTTTCAAGCCTATAGTCTAACTTTTTACCAAATTTTGAGGTCTTTGAAAATTGTTATGTCCGTCATTATTAAGCCTTGCTGCTAAGCCAAATACGGATAACACGCCGTTTTAGGTGATTTAGAGCTGAAAAAGGATCGTTTCTTCTGATTTCAGAAAAAACGAAAATTGGAGAAATTTTTCAAGCCTATAGTCTTATTTTTTACCAAATTTTGAGGTCTTTGAAAATTGTTATGTCCGTCATTATTAAGCCTTGCTGCTAAGCCAAATACTAATAAAACGCCGTTTTAGGTGATTTAGAGCAGAAAAATGATCGTTTTTTCTGATTTTAGAAATAAAGAAAATTGGAGAAATTTGTCAAGACTATAGCCTTACCTTTTTACCAAATTTTGAGGTTTTTAAAATTGTTGTCTCTGTCAGTTAAAAGCCTTGCTGCTAAGCCAAATACTAATAACACGCCATTTTAGGTGATTCAGAGCTGAAAAAGGATCGTTTCTTCTGATTTTAGAAAAAACGAAAATTGGAGAAATTTTTCAAGCCTATAGTCTTACTTTTTACCAAATTTTGAGGTCTTTGAAAATTGTTATGTCCGTCATTATTAAGCCTTGCTGCTAAGCCAAATACTAATAAAACGCCGTTTTAGGTGATTTAGAGCAGAAAAATGATCGTTTTTTCTGATTTTAGAAATAAAGAAAATTGGAGAAATTTGTCAAGACTATAGCCTTACCTTTTTACCAAATTTTGAGGTTTTTAAAATTGTTGTCTCTGTCAGTTAAAAGCCTTGCTGCTAAGCCAAATACTAATAACACGCCATTTTAGGTGATTCAGAGCTGAAAAAGGATCGTTTCTTCTGATTTTAGAAAAAACGAAAATTGGAGAAATTTTTCAAGCCTATAGTCTTACTTTTTACCAAATTTTGAGGTCTTTGAAAATTGTTATGTCCGTCATTATTAAGCCTTGCTGCTAAGCCAAATACTGATAACACGCCGTTTTAGGTGATTTAGAGCTGAAAAAGGATCGTTTCTTCTGATTTTAGAAAAAACGAAAATTGGAGAAATTTTTCAAGCCTATAGTCTTCCTTTTTACCAAATTTTGAGGTCTTTGAAAATTGTTATGTCCGTCATTATTAAGCCTTGCTGCTAAGCCAAATACTAATAACACGCCGTTTTAGGTGATTTATAGCTGAAAAATGATCGTTTTTTCTGATTTTAGAAAGAAGGAAAATTGAAGAAATTTGGCAAGGCTATAGCCTTACTTTTTTACCAAATTTCGAGGTCTTTTAAAGTTGTTATGTCCGTCAATAAAAAGCCTTGCTGCTAAGCCAAATACTAATAAAACGCCGTTTTAGGTGATTTATAGCAGAAAATTGATCGTTTTTTCTGATTTTAGAAATAAAGAAAACTGGATAATTTTGGCAAGCCTATAGCCTTACTTTTTTACCAAATTTCGAGGTCTTTTAAAGTTGTTATGTCCGTCAGTAAAAAGCCATCCTTTCAGCCTTATACTAATAAAACGCCGTTTTAGGTGATTTATAGCTGAAAAATGATCGTTTTTTCTGATTTTAGAAAGAAGGAAAATTGAAGAAATTTGGCAAGGCTATAGCCTTACTTTTTTACCAAATTTCGAGGTCTTTTAAAGTTGTTATGTCCGTCAATAAAAAGCCTTGCTGCTAAGCCAAATACTAATAAAACGCCGTTTTAGGTGATTTATAGCAGAAAAATGATCGTTTTGTCTGATTTTAGAAAAAAACGAAAATTGAAGAAATTTGTCAAGCCTATAGCCTTACTTTTTTACCAAATTTCGAGGTCTTTTAAAATTGTTATGTCCGTCAATAAAAAGCCTTGCTGCTAAGCCAAATACTAATAAAACGCCGTTTTAGGTGATTTAACACAGAAAATTGATTGTTTTTTCTGATTTTAGAAAAAACGAAAATTGGAGAAATTTGGCAAGGCTATAGCCATACTTTTATACCAAATTTCGAGGTCTTTTAAAATTGTTATATCCGTCAGTAAAAAGCCATCCTTTCAGACTTATACTAATAAAACGCCGTTTTAGGTGATTTAGAGCAGAAAATTGATCGTTTTTTATGATTTTAGAAAAAAACGAAAATTGGAGAAAATTGTCAAGCCTATAGCCTCACTTTTTTACCAAATTTCGAGGTCTTTTAAAATTGTTATGTCCGTCAGTAAAAAGCCATCCTTTCACCCTTATACCAATAAAACGCCGTTTTAGGTGATTTAGAGTAGAAAAATGATCGTTTTTTCTGATTTTAGAAATAAAGAAAATTGGAGAAATTTGTCAAGCCTATAGCCTTACCTTTTTACCAAATTTTGAGGTTTTTAAAATTGTTGTCTCTGTCAGTAAAAAGCCTTGCTGCTAAGCCAAATACTAATAACACGCCATTTTAGGTGATTCAGAGCTGAAAAAGGATCGTTTCTTCTGATTTTAGAAAAAACGAAAATTGGAGAAATTTTTCAAGCCTATAGTCTTACTTTTTACCAAATTTTGAGGTCTTTGAAAATTGTTATGTCCGTCATTATTAAGCCTTGCTGCTAAGCCAAATACTGATAACACGCCGTTTTAGGTGATTTAGAGCTGAAAAAGGATCGTTTCTTCTGATTTTAGAAAAAACGAAAATTGGAGAAATTTTTCAAGCTTATAGTCTTACTTTTTACCAAATTTTGAGGTCTTTGAAAATTGTTATGTCCGTCATTATTAAGCCTTGCTGCTAAGCCAAATACCAATAACACGCCGTTTTAGGTGATTTAGAGCTGAAAAAGGATCGTTTCTTCTGATTTTAGAAAAAACGAAAATTGGAGAAATTTTTCAAGCCTATAGTCTTCCTTTTTACCAAATTTTGAGGTCTTTGAAAATTGTTATGTCCGTCATTATTAAGCCTTGCTGCTAAGCCAAATACTAATAACACGCCGTTTTAGGTGATTTAGAGCTGAAAAAGGATCGTTTCTTTTGATTTTAGAAAAAACGAAAATTGGAGAAATTTTTCAAACCTATAGTCTTCCTTTTTACCAAATTTTGAGGTCTTTGAAAATTGTTATGTCCGTCATTATTAAGCCTTGCTGCTAAGCCAAATACTAATAACACGCCGTTTTAGGTGATTTAGAGCTGAAAAAGGATCGTTTCTTCTGATTTTAGAAAAAACGAAAATTGGAGAAATTTTTCAAGCCTATAGTCTTACTTTTTACCAAATTTTGAGGTCTTTGAAAATTGTTATGTCCGTCATTATTAAGCCTTGCTGCTAAGCCAAATACTAATAACACGCTGTTTTAGGTGATTTAGAGCTGAAAAAGGATCGTTTCTTTTGATTTTAGAAAAAACGAAAATTGGAGAAATTTTTCAAACCTATAGTCTTACTTTTTACCAAATTTTGAGGTCTTTGAAAATTGTTATGTCCGTCATTATTAAGCCTTGCTGCTAAGCCAAATACTAATAACACGCCGTTTTAGGTGATTTAGAGCTGAAAAAGGATCGTTTCTTCTGATTTTAGAAAAAACGAAAATTGGAGAATTTTGTCAAGCCTATAGCCTTACTTTTTTACCAAATTTCGAGGTCTTTTAAAATTGTTATGTCCGTCAGTAAAAAGCCATCCTTTCACCCTTATACCAATAAAACGCCGTTTTAGGTGATTGAGAGCAGAAAAATGATTGTTTTGTCTGATTTTAGAAATAAAGAAAATTGGAGAATTTTGGCAAGCCTATAGCCTTACCTTTTTACCAAATTTTGAGGTCTTTGAAAATTGTTATGTCCGTCATTATTAAGCCTTGCTGCTAAGCCAAATACTAATAACACGCCGTTTTAGGTGATTTAGAGCTGAAAAAGGATCGTTTCTTCTGATTTTAGAAAAAACGAAAATTGGAGAATTTTGTCAAGCCTATAGCCTTACCTTTTTACCAAATTTCGAGGTCTTTTAAAATTGTTATGTCCGTCAGTAAAAAGCCATCCTTTCACCCTTATACCAATAAAACGCCGTTTTAGGTGATTTAGAGCTGAAAAAGGATCGTTTCTTCTGATTTTAGAAAAAACGAAAATTGGAGAATTTTGTCAAGCCTTACCTTTTTATCAAATTTCGAGGTCTTTTAAAAGTGCTATGTCTTTCAGTAAAAAGTTTTGCTGCATAGGATAATGCTAATAAAAATTCGTTTTTGAGGAGAAGTTTTTTTACCAAATTTCAAGGATTTCAAAATGAGTGTTATTTGAACGGAAAACCCTTAAAGACTCGAGAAAAGGTGTTTTCAATTGCAGAATTTCTTTATTAAAAAGAAAAGAAACGTCGTTCCGTTTTAATAAATCGATTTCAGTATAAAAGCGATATGCAGTATGTTATTATACTATTTATTAACAGCTTATAAAATTTTAAAAGGTTAATTTGACATGGTTTTTATTATATGACGGCATGTATTCAAGAATCAAGTTTTCCACACATTTTTGTTTCCGATAGAAGGTTTTCTCTTACTGTATATATACACATCTGCGTCAATATTTGTTCATGGTCAGTACATCCACTTGTTTTCAATCGGATCACCCCAGTGTGATGATTTTTTTGCTTTTAACAACCAAGTTGTCACACAACACAAGCTATATTCGTTTTAGTTGTTGCCTCGAAATGACTGCACCCACACTCCTTTGTGAATCGTTGCTGTGTACCTCGTTGGCGAAGAGTCCCTTGCCACTGGTCCTTCACCATCGTTAAAGCTGGAAAGCGATTTGTTGTCACTAACACTAAACTAAATTGGTTCGCCACACAGAATATATTGGTCATGGTTGAATTTTGTTGGCTCTTGTTTTGGATAGCCATAAGCACATAAGCATACTTAGCTACGTATTAGGACATAGAAACAGGCCAGGAGAAATTTGAAAGCAACGAATATCATGCCGTAATTTTAACCCTTGCAGTACATAACCGACTTCAGTTGCCTCTTACTGAGTACAATAAACCTCTTTTGGAAATGACCCTTGCTATGCACAAAAACTCACCTGTATCTTGCTTGAAGGTCGTCCAAATTAGATATTGTTTGCATTCCCATAATCCTCGCTGCGTCCATTTCTTTTTTCCATATCCTCACCTATATGACAAACGCTCTTGTCAACGAAGCAACAGCAAAACACTGACTAACACGGGTATTACTTAATGTTTACACAGCAACTTCATTGGTATGGCAAGCTTAAGCATTTTCATAAATGGTCTTAGCGTTCACTGAATAATGTTTTCATGTAAGTAGAACCCTGAGATATTTAATGTACTTTCAAATATCTAAGAAGAAATACTGGCAAAATCTCTTTCTGAAAATGGCATTATAAAATTCCGAATCTCTCAACCCATATCAAAAACCCAATTCTTAGAAAAGGTAGAAAGTTTTAACAAAAATGCCAAGATCTTATGTTTGATGTCGTGGGGCCAGTTTCCAAATAATAAGGTTTGGTCTTGCCAGTCGCTTGTCAGTCGCTATTATGCCAATAAATCATTGTGTCCCAGTCCCCCAAATTGTAAAGTGCATGATTTTCAATTGAATAAAAGTAAACATTGTTTGCATTAAATCCAAAGAACATTATTTTGTCACTCTAACCTCATCAACAAAGCCTTTCAAAAAGGAGTTGCCTTGTTTGCCAATGAAAATGCGACTTCCTTTTGTATCCTCGAAACTTGATAAAACTTTTGAAGCAGCCAGCTTTCCATTCACGAAGATTTTCTGCGGGGAAAACGGACAATGGAAGGCATATTCGATTAAAGATCGATCATAAGAAGGTCACTCCCCCACTCCCTCTATCCTCTAACAGTAAAAGTCAATTCACAGTACTGCTCATATCAGATATGAAAACGCCTCTTTTGCCGTCAAAAAAGCCATATCACTGACATTAATACTAGAAGTATATCTTTTCAGTTCGTCGTTTCAAAATATCTTGCTAACTACTACTTGGCGTTTTACAAAAATAGGATCCCTGAAAAGAAAGGGTGAGCTTGATTCGTAAGATGTGGCTACGAGGCTGGACGGTGTGTAAAATAAAAACTGTATACAATTAACCGCGGGGAAGAAGCGAGCGCGTCGTGGGTGTGAGGAGCTTTAGAAACATGACTTTTACTTTTCTTACGAGCGAGAGTGCGATGAGAGTATATAGCCAGTTTGTTATTGTTTTGTTACCTTGAAAGAAATATATAACTTCTATTTCGAGTTTTTTGTGAGTTTATCGCCATACAACATTCTAAGTTCGCGATAACGGGACGAAAGTAATGGTGAAGTATGAGAGAATAGAAAGGAAATTTAGGTTTCAAACGAATGTGAAAAAAATTCATAGTCATAGCAGAAAAAGCTGACCATTCTTGGGATAAACTAGTAATAGAAAGACTAGTTCCTTTGGGTTTCTTGATACTACTGCAGCTGTAAATGCATATTTTTCTCTGGTTCGTGACGTCATTTTATAACCTGATACCCTTTGCTTTTGATGTTCAATACTTTAGTAATCAAATGATTATAAACGAGGCCCTTTAATGAAATACGAAGAATTTATGTAACCAAATCAAATCGTAAAAAGATCTTTAATAATGAGGATTTCGCAATAAGAATGAAGGTGTAATTTTACCATGTCCTTGTCAGATGAATTGAAAACCATGGCAACATGATTCCATTGGCCCAACTGGAATTCAGAGGAGCTTGTGGTGACGGTTTCATTTCCAGAAAAACCACAAAACAACTGACCTCGTTTGATAAAGAGGAACAGCCCTATGAAAGTGAAATGATAAATTCACATAAACATAAACATAAATACATAAACATTGAGAGAAATCGTCATTGTTGGCAGAAGAGTTGTTGGTTATGATTATTATTATCATCGTGATAATAGTCGTGGCGATTATGATGGCGATACTCCAGTTCTCTTGACAATTCGGGAGACTCTCACATATTCCTCTCTCTCTTTATCTCTCTAACATGATTTATCAACTCGGTCTTGACGTGCTAGGGGGCTCAGGGGGCCCAAGCCCCCCTTGTTAATGCGGAAAAGTAGCCAATTTCTACTTTTGCTATTGTTTTTTGCAGCAATTTGCGCAAGAGCCCCCCTTGTTATTTTGATAGCACTACACCCCTGCTTGACTCTAATAAAAATGATAAACCAACTTTGTGCAGTTCATGAAAATTTTTATCCGAACCACTTTTTATACTAAAGGTTCGGTCACCGAAACAAACGCAGACTGGACCATGGCTGAACTGACGGGTTTCTGAAACAGTGTTAGTAATACAAAAATGTTAGTAAGACATTATATATGATGCTTGTAAACGAGGGATTTTTTTACGCGAATAATGTTTAAGATATAATGATAAATTATTTGAATTCAATTTATATAAAATAAAAAATGAGATTTCTAAAAGAAATATTGCGATCATGATCATGGGTATGGTCGTTGATGATGATTATGATGATGACGACGATTGGAAGATTATGATTATGATAATGTACATAATGACGGTGCTGATTATAATAAAAAGTGATTCTAAACAGGAGGGTTGTAATATCTTCTCCAGATATTGGAATGCAGTGCAAACATGTTAGCAAACAAAGTTACTAAGCTTCGCAAACTACCTGCAGGATTATTTGCTTTATTGACAATAACGTGCAATTTTGGCAATGTTCAGCCTGAAGATCGTAAAAGTCGATGCAAGAATTATGATGCAAGCAGCAAGGAAAATCGGAAGAGGCAGAGGAAGATTTTCAGGATGAGCTCGCAAAAATATTCAGGTGTGTTTTCATTGATGTAACGGGGATGATATGCAACACTTCGACTCTCAAACAAAACTCCCTTCAAAACGGCATGGATCGTTTTTATAAAAACAAAAACTGAAGTCTGGGCCTTCTTCCTACAATGTTTCAAACAGACACGTTATTGTACTTACAATAGAATATGGCCAAATGACCCTTGTGTCGCCTGGCTTGTTCAGACAATGCGCTTTTGTTAACAGTTTGTGTCGCCATGGCGGCAGGGATTAACAAAACTCTCTCTGGGAAGGGGCAAGAACCCTTGAGAGCTCAACTCCACTGGCGGATGCATTTGAACCGACGCCGGTTGGAGTAGAGAAAGATGTTTACTGCTGAAAATCTTGAAATTGGTATGACTTTAAAGGATATTTAAATTATTTTCATTCCTACGAAGTAATCTTCACAATCAAAGACAATGTTGTGTTTTTTACGACGAGGCCAAGTTGCCATTTACAATATGCACAAACAATCTGTCTGATGATTGAATTCAGGAATATTTTTGTATCAACTTGATAGAAGATACTAGTCTGACTGAAAAGAGACTATGCTAACAGTATAGGGTACAATCAAAAAGTTGAGGATGCCATCATCGTGTAAAGAATATTTGCTGCCAGATAGCCAGGGTTCTGGGATATAATAGCGAGTTTTGTTGAAGTCCCAAACATTTCCAAACTTTGCTAAATGTGAACAATGCAGGTTGTGGTTCAATAAAATAATCGGAGGCAAAACACTTTTTCTATTTGACTGAGTCTTTTATGTGACTCTCTGTTAAGTGTTTATCTTTACAATCTTATTATTTCAAACTGCCGTGTGCACGTTTTTTTTCCAAAAGAAAGATTTCGAGTATCTACTTTCATATTGAGCAGAACAGACCGACCCCTTTATCACGTCACATGTGCTATCACATACAATGCATTCTGGTAGTTGTGGTAACGAGAGCCGTTGTTAACTACTTCGTTCACTGTGTACTTTTATTGAATCGCAACGAAATTACAGTATTTATATCGCAATCATGCACGATAATGCAGATTCGACGTTCGTGTTTTTGAAAAGCCAAAATTTTAAAGCCGGGGGAGGGGGGAGGTACATCCATTTTGGCCTGACAGGGGGTCCGGTCATGGTCAAAGAGGGTCAACGCTAAAATTTTAGAAAATTACCCTCAAATGTTAATACTTTTAGACAAAACCCCTCAAACAGTAGCACAAACATCGAAATTATTTCCTTGGTAGCATCCATTGCTTTGCGCTCTCTTGGTCCTTTTTTGAAAAATTTCTTCAGAATTGATTGTGTTGTTTCGGGAAAGATAAATCTTGTTCATTACCTATAACAAATCGCAAGCTAAACTGAGCAATTCAGTTATTATCAAAAACGGGCCATTTGGTAGCCATTTGTTAAGACCCTGAAACGGACAGGACCCCCCTGTCAGGCCTTTATGGGAGTAACCCCCCGGATGTTAAAGCTGCCAAAACCCTTTATCTTGTCAAGGCAAGAGTTAACGCATCCATGAAAAATTTGAGATACGTAACTTACGTCGCAAGCATGAATTTTCCAATTCGGTGTTTCTCTTATGACGACCCTAATGATGCATCATGCACCATTCTGATCCTTTATAGAAAGGGGGGGGGTCGATCTAATAATGTAACTCCTTGACAGAGTTAGTCAATGGTCTTTCAAACTGTAATAATGCGTTAAGATAAAGGCTCCATTTTTAATAATCTAGGCAATCCTTTGAATCAACACTAAAGTAAAAGAAGCTTTAAGATTAATTTGTTGCAAATACCCAGGAACTCGATATTTGCCTATCTCCGATACCATTTTTTGTTGGAGAGGTATTCCCAAACGAGTTCCTGTAGTGAACCACTTGCAGTGAGGAGGGTCGCTAGCTCTCTGTAATTCCAGGCGTAGAAACCCTGAGATGTGGTCGCATTGAGAGGAAAGACCAGGACACCACTCGATAAGCATAACGTCTCGGTTTCCTGAAAACTAACCTCGGATGGTGGGTGGTAACAAGTACAAATAATCTGCCAGTACTGGTTCCATTCGTGGGCTGCATCACTCTTCCCGCACAGCGTACGATATTTTTTAGGACAAATTGAATTTTAGGATTTTTGGCGGGTTTGCTCGAAAACAAAAGGATTTTCACCAAAGGTGTACGAATATTTCGTTGAGTGATATGCCGCTCAGCTCTATAATATGCCCCACTGAAAACCAAGGCTGGTTTATATTATTTCGATTCGCATACACGAGACTAAGCCTTGTTCAAGTTAAACACATCACCATAGTCGAGGTGTGGCCCAACATCCATCTTATACATTCAATTAAAAACATCTCGAAAGTTTTTCATCTAGTACCATTAGAAGATGTTTGTGACTTCGGTCAGGAGCAAGTCGGTGAGAAGGATGTTGCTTCTTAAAGTAACTTCTTAAAAAATATCTCCTTCGTCTACTTGGAAGATACTGAATCAAAGCTTATCTTCCATTCATAAGCCAAGGATTCAATATTTGACAAATCGATGTTTAGAGCCTCAAATGCTTCTTTTGTTTTGCTGACATGCCAAAAAAGTGCTGTCTGCAAGGACTTTTACTTTAGAAGATATACCATATGTGAGATCGTCTACATAAACCAGAAAAAGCAATGGTCAGAGGACGGATCCTTGAGGAATATAAGCCTCAATTTGCTCCTAAGAAGACATCTTCCTTTCAAAATAACTCGAGTATCTTTCCTTGAAAATACACTTTCACACGTAATGATGTAGAAGAAAGAACGGATAGGATTTAAAGGCACTATGTATCGACACAATTCGCTGGCCATTTAAAATTCCTATTGGTTTGACTACACAATAGCCCTTTGATTACGTATCCAATAGGCAACATAGGATCAATCAATTCGCAATGTTGTCTCGATCATAAACGCGCTGCAAAGCCTATTGGTAACGGTTGACTGACGGGACATAAAGCCTTTGAAGGCTCTTGCGCAATCAGCATGTTTTGAGAGTTTAACTCCAAAACCGGCCTAACATCGTACCGCATGAAAATACCAGACAGCTACCACTAAGCTACCGGTTGCGCAAAAACCATTAAGGGTGTGTCTGTTATTATCTAAAGCTGTCTTTCGTTTCAGATGTACAAGAAAGACTTTGAAAACGAAATTGTCCCCTACCCGCACAAATTTTTCTAAATAGTTTAGTTACCTAGATTCCATCAGACCAATTACATTTTTCAATATTTCTATGTAGGATGCCAGTATCAAGGCATGGATGAAGCGGAATCGCGGGAGGTTGTTGGTATGCTGAGGGATATCGCGGGTTTCCGCGGCAACCGTGCAATAGAGATACAAGACAACCATGCATTTTGGAAGCGAGTTCTCACGGCATACGGCAACGATGCAATGAAAAGATTCCAACTACTGGAAGAAAGTCAACAGCAAGCAAGATTAAAAAGAATAAGAAGTGCGCCAGTTTTAGGGAAGAGGGAAGATGATCAACCGAACAGACAAAGGGATGAAAAATTATTGCCAAAAAGATGCCAAAGTGGTAAGATCTTACGTGTGTTTTACTTGCAAAAAAAGACGCTGGGGGCAGAAGTTGGTCAACCCACGTGGTAAAACCCAGAAATAGTTTCCACTACAATTACAAAAACTTTTCTTTCATTTTTTCTAGCAATCTAGAAAACATTTCACAATTCCAGTAGCTTCTAAGTTTCGAGACACGCTCGATTTGAAAATCACCAAAGGTAGGCTTGATCCTCTGTCTGGAGGGTGCTTCTGTCCTAAAAAAATTTTATCTATAAAGTTGTAAGCGACCGGTTCAATAAACAGAGGTTTGGCTGGCTTGATAAAGAAAGGTTAGGTCTCTTAATAAAAATTGGTTCTGCCGGTTTGGTAAACAGACTTTATCAAAACACTTTCTGTGCCAAGCATTGTAAATAAAAATAGTCTAACAAGCAAGATACCTCGCTGGTTTTCGGATCCTAACAAGTATTGTGAATCATCCTTGCAAGTCTGTACACTGTCTGTTCCGCAGCCCGGACTGTGCAAAAAATAATGAAATTCGGAATTAATGCAAATAGACATCAAACATAACTTGGGAACTCAAACAGTAGCACTTCTGAAACAACTTAATTTGCATAATCTTAAAAAGTTATAGGCAATTTGAGTAATAAAGGGAGATTTCTCTATTTAGAGCCAGTAACAGTGCCTTGCAGCCAACAAACATCTTTTAAGTTATTTTCTTTGCACCTAATCAATGCAAATCTTGTCAAAATGCTCCTATATCGTGCAAAAGACTTCTCGATTGGCAGCCATATTTGTAGTGAAGGGCAGCCATATTTGTAGCCTGCATTAAATGTATACCAAGTATTCATATTTATAATTAGCTTTCACGAAATGTTGGCAGTAGTAATGCTAATATGATAAGGTACTTTTTAATGTGAATCCTTGCTAGCTTGTAACATACGCCAGAATACAAATAAAGTTTTCTTTGATGTTCTATGAATGGCAAAAAATCACCTGAAGTTAAGATCATCGATGGCAATATCACTTCTTGACCCATGGCCTCTCACCGCTGTGATGCGCATTTGTATGTCACTGTAACCTTTGGTCGTTGGCTTTTCAGGTCAAAGGACAAGAATAAATGAAAATAATTAAATTATGTGTTTATTATGATATGACAAAAATGAGCATAAGAAGATGTTTGATACCCATATTGTTACACTGAAGTTTTCCATGAATAATACAAAAACAAGAGATAATGACTTTAAGACGAGAGTACTAAAAATGGCAGGAAATTAAAACATCATAAGGAATCAAAATTTAAAAATTCTTTAATTAGGGGCAGAACATCAGAAATATTAAAACCGCGATTACTTAATCGCTTTGGCTGAGAATGAAAAGTGGAAATCTTCTAGATCGAAAATTGCACCTGCAATCAGTCAAAAAGATAATTGTTAAGAAATTGTATTAGGTATGATTAATTCATGGTGAAATTGGGTCGATGAGCAAATTCTGTGGCCTGTGTTGACAGCTGCACATATCCATCGTTGTGTAATTGCCTGGTCAGTGAATTTGACATCATTTTCAAAATCATAAAGGCGAGAATAGCTTTATGACGCTAAGCAAGACAAAAATACCAGCAGGAGATAAATCATGGATGTATCGAAATCCTGGTAATTGCCAGAGGCTAGGGGGATGTCAGTAATCGTTGGAATGGCAGACAAATTTCTAACTAGCTGCTAATTTTTCACAGCTCAAGATCGGAGTTATCCAGAAATGAATTTACCAAACAGCAACCGCGCGGCAAAGCTCCGCTCGGACTACATATCGCATTTGCATTCACTAAATAAATACAGTGCACTGACGCGGATGGCGGATTATCAAGAGAAGATGCGGGCAAACAGGCCTAGCCATAGTGCAAGGTACCCGAGATTCGTTCAGAAAGAAAAAACAGACAATGACCCAGAATGGGGTAATTCTTAATCTTATTTCAAATAAAGATATCTTTCCATTATTTACTTTATGTGTCTACTTTTAATATTTATATGCAGAATCCTTAATGTTAAGTTTAAGACATTTGTATTTATTGCTACCTAGCATCCGAAGGTAGCTTTTAGGACACTGAGAAGCTATACTTATCGAGCAGTGTCCTGGTCCTTTCTCTCGATGTGACCACACATCGTGATTCCTACGTCTGGAATTACAGAGAGCTGGCGACTCTCCCCACTCTGGGTGAAAGTTTGGTCATGCCAGGGACTCGAACCACGGACCATTGGGTCTGTAGTCAGCGTCTCTAACAACTGAGCCATCCTCGCAGTTTAAGACACTTACAAGTACATATATAATTCATCTATTCAGCATCAAAAGTTACAATTAAAAGAAAGTGCATTAGATGCAAAACAAAAAGCATCTTATGAACTGATGATGGCCAAATAAATAGATAAACGACCAGAGTGTCAGCATAATCATTTATCTTATCATTTTGGTCATTTTATCACAGACAGGCTTGCCAATCCAAACAACCAAATCAACGATATATTACTCCCTGCTGCAAGGGAATAGTAAGCTAAGATAAATGAAGTCTGATATTTTTCGCAGCCAGCTTGTTTAATGATTTAGGCATTGGTGATTTGAGCCCGAGAATGTCTTTATGATCCTACGAAATCTACAATAACAGATACCCCCCAAAAATGCACAGGTTTCTTTTCTGCAGTAAAATCCTTTTTACCTCGGATGCCTCCCTTCAACGGGCAGTAACTTTGGTTCCACAACCTTCCGCTATATAGAGGTTCAACTGTAAAAGCACTGGTGCCCTTTCACCTACTTATCAGTACGTTTTCTTGCGCCTTACAGGGGAAGATGAATACGATGTGTATATTTTCCACAACAAAAGAGACAGCGAATGGGTTTCGTCATGGCTGAAGGGCCCATTGCAAGCCAAGAGGTACAATGTCAAAATGAGAGCAACATCGAAAGACATTGCAAGGTGAAAATTGGCCTTTTTATTTGATCCTTTTCTACTTTTGAAAACATTTGCTCCTTTCCAATAACAAACTGCTACTGCTAATCGAGCTCCACATCATTGGCTTTTTTCATCATATTCCATTTCCTCTTTCATCAAACAGTACTGATGACGCAATTCTACCTAATTCTGTTACAGGCCATCGACAGGTAAAAAAGTGATGCATCGAATAATTATTGTCTTAACTCCAGAATTCATCAGAAGGGATATTCATCAGTTAGAGAATGTTGGGGTGCAAACACACGTCCTTTTACTCAAACTGAAGCAATGCCAACTTCCGGAAGGACTCTTTTTCTCAAGCTACGTTGACCTCAGCTTTAGAGATCGGACCGACCTTACGCTGCAAAGTAAGCTGCTGGCAAAGTTAATCGCTACCTTACAGCTTCCTAGGCCAATCTGCTCGTGAATAAGCTCACATATTCTACAGCAAGGTGAACTTTTGCTGGCCGTTCCAGCGACAAGGCAGGCCATTCTTCTCTTCCGGATGAAATTAGCAGCAAAAATAGAAGTGATCGATTCCATATGTCTTTCATTTATCTGTTTGCTAGAGTCGAGGATGGAAACTTGTCCTGAGTTTGTTTGCGTATAAGTATAAGTTGATGCTTCTCTAGATATCTTATCAACTGTATTGTTTTTGTCACTAACTAGGAAACTAGATATATCTGCCTAAATGAAGTTTTATTCATTAAATTTGATAACAACTCGTTAATTGAGACCCCTATCTCGTTAGTTTACTCACTTTGAGAGCTCCTTCTTCAGAATTCTATTACATCTAGTTGTATGGTGTTGTTGCTAACATTTTATGAAAACATGATCAGGAAAAATTGTCAGTTCAATAAGAAGTTCAAGGATATCATTTCCAATTGAGATGAAAGATTGAACGAATCCAGAGAAAATGTGCAGTCTAGGAAATTTGAATTTTTCATCTACAGTAGGTGTTATGTGCTGTTTGTCAAAATCCAGGCTGGGATCCTTTAATTTATTGCGCTTTTTATTAGATGACTTTGTTATATCAAATTACTCAGAAAGAGATAAACGAGAAGAGATATTTATTAGCTTGAGTTTATAATTTCTTAAATGTTCCCATTGTTGGTTGTTGTAAATCATATACAGGGACTAACGCAAATCAAACATTGAATTGATTTATATAGTCGTTAGATTATTGTTCTAAAATATGACATCATCGTTTTCATGATCTTATAGTTTACGATATGATGTTATTATTTTATGACATTCTTTAGACACAACGAATTTCTCTTTTCACTAGAAACCTTTCGCCCATTGACGATCTAGACGACACTGATTGGTTCAGATTTAGCCAATCGGTGTGCCATCTTTCCGTCTGCATCATTGTATAAAAAATGTTTGTCTTTGCTTTTGGTCTCATACGTTAGAAAAGACAAAGTTGGGGAACGTTGAAGACGACATTTAGAAAACGTGATGGAAATTAGCAGTTCTTGCACGTATGTTATTCCAAATCCACAGTTTTCATTCTGCCATTTGCTAGCATTTCCAACATTCTGTTTACCATGCCTCTTGTGATGCCAGAAACGGTTTTCTAAGGCTTAACAACGGATTCGGCAGGTTGGTGAAAATCATACCTCTGAAGCAATAATAAAGGTACAAGAAATTTTCGTGGAAAGAAATTTCCAGCTAAACACAAATCCCATGACATAGTAAAATGTGTAAATAGGTGACGATTCAAGCTAATGGTCGCAGTGCTTGATTGGCCGAATTGCAATGCAGTAGCCATGTATGCTTAGGCTGCCATTGGTAAAATACTTCACAGCTGCATGCTCTTGCTCAGCTTGCTAGAAATGCTATTTTGTCTGACACTCTTCAGAGCATAAAACGCCAGAACTTAGATAAAAAAACTAAAAAGCTATGAAATATATATACCCAGTTGTGGATCGAAATAGGCAAGTCATAAACGCGAGCACATGAATGTAAAGGCTGTCCAATCAGTGCCGCTTGCCTATTGAAAATGTTACCAATGGAGTCCTAAGGTGAAAACGAACCCCTTCGTGTTTATGTAGATAGATAAAAACTGCTAGGATGAACGACGATCGGGCTCTACCAACAATACGAAACATGTCGCCACTATAGTTTTTGCACAATCTGGGTTTTCCAGTAAATGCTACCCGATAACAGAATCGCTTCATTTAGTTCTTTTGGGGGAGTTTTGTTTCTAATGATAGAAGGGACATGCTGTTTTACTCTATTCCCCAATTAAAACGGCATTACTTCCAACTTTTGAAATAAGTCCACTCTCTCAAATAAGCCCCATTTCTTTCTAGCCTCCTTTAAAATCTAAAACAATTAAAAATTTTCCAGGAATTAAGCTGCTACCCTCCTTTTTTGCACTTTTCAAAATTCCCATAACATAGATTTAGTTTTCAAAATAAAAATCAAGTTATGAATACCTGGAGAAGAACCTTTCTTTGGTGCCACGTATTGTTTTGATTCCCTTTAATCCAAAAACGCTGCTTCCATATTTTATCAGTGTCCCTTACTTCGATTTGCAAGCTCCCCATTTGAGTTTTAGCCACCGTGGCGTCCGCATCCCACATGTGCAGAAAGAAATCCAGTGCACAGGAGTCATTGGCTGGAAACCAAGGAGACAGAAGCCTGGCCTAGTCAAGAAGAATGACAAAAAGAATATAGCCTTTGTCACAGAGATTGATAAGAGTGATAGCGTATATTGGTGATACGCAGCATAACGGTCAAATCTTTGATTGGCTAAGAGCTCTGATCACTACTATTTTCTTCCAACCAAATAAGCCAATCGGCACACAGGATTCTCACAACAAAATCGCTTCGCAGCTAGAATTAGGCCCATTTTCACCTTTTCAGCGTGTTTTTACCACATCGTCTACAGAAAGCCTTGCACGTCTCTACAAAGCTTGATTTTTGTCCAGTTAATCATCAAGCGTTGCTATTTAACCTATATAATTTATGACTATTAATCATGCTTATTTATGACTATTAATCATGCTAATTTATGACTATCAGTGATACGCATAGCAATTGAGCAATATCTTAGAAGCATACCAGGAACTCAAGAGAAATGCGCTTCAATTAACGGCCTCGTTCGGGGCACTTGAAAACATCTTCATATGAAATTGTCAACCTCGGATTAGGAATTTTCGTAAGTATTTGAAAATATATAAGGAATTTGATAGCAAAAATCGAACGGGATCAATTTTAAGTACTAGGCCACTTTTCACGATCGAATCCCTTTAAGAATCCCGAGCTTATTTTCCTCGTTTAATTGACAGAACATGAGCTTGATATGTGAAAATGTTTATGCATTTCGGTGCTGAATCTGAGGTAGCTGTCTCTGTAAGTTTCCAAACGAAACTGCTCGATTGAGGTGGTGGTACCTGATACCGAAAAAATAAATTTCTATGACCAACCAGCATCACCTTGGCGTATATTGTGTAACAGGCACAGTTCATTTATAGGTTTCGACTGTTGTCAGTTGAAGCATGGTTGAAGTAGGAAATAGTCTGACAAGTGATGGCTTTGAAATCAAAATTTCATAGACAAAGTGTTCTGAACGAGAGGGTTTAACAGCTAGGAGAGCTTCACTCACCCTGTCTCCTAGATAGGGACCAGACCCAGTCCACCTGCCACTAAAATACGCGAATCGACCAGTACCATTGTTCGATGTATGATCAAATTCAGGACTTGTTTTCGATGGAATGATGACATTCGGAAATTGCCAGTCCCTCTCGTCATTGGCATCTTGAGCAAAGAAATGAGTATCGCTGTGGTCAATGGTACCAAAATCGATATTCCGTGGAGGCATACATGAAGTATTACTGCAAATAGATGATTGATATTTAGCAAACATTTTCAATCTTTAATATTTGATAAAATTGAAGAAGACGTTGGGCAAAGGTGCGTAACAGAAGGTGGGCTCATTCTGCATACTAAGGGCGACCCTGTCGCTCTGGGGTGACATAGCCGACACGGTAGGCAAAATCTTGCCCATCTCGAAGAGTTAGGTCCGCCCTGCCGGTATGCTTAATTCATGAATCTCCAGCTTTACCACAAACTCGTGCAGAAATGCATTGAAAGTGAGGTTTAAGAGAATGAGTCAAATAAATACGCTGGACAAAGGCGGTAGAAAGCATTCGTATGGCAACCTCATGCAACATGTCTTGTCAATACGTAGCTAGAATGTGAGGGATGTAAGATACAATTTTGAAATTTGAAAGGACATTCTTCAACCGAAGTCTCAAGGAGTTGGAAGATACCATTACGGAAATTTCAAAAAATGCAATCTTGTCTTGTATCGCAGCCTCTCGGTTGGACAAAAACTACAAGCGTTATAGTATAAATGCTGATTTGATAAAAAAGGTTCACCTCACGCCCTCGATTCTTGTCCAGAGTTCAACAGTGAATGATTTCTCCCCACTGAGAAGATCACTTTGACTTCCAATATCAATGTAGCTGTTTTGCCCATCAAATTCAATCGCATAATCATTTATCTATAAAACAAAACAGTTCTATTCACAACCTGGAGCTGTGGTAGAAGATTTGCTATAATGAATTCAAGAAGGTGGATTCTACCATAGCGAAAACAGTCCATTTAACTGCAAATTTCGAATTAAAGCCTAGATGAAAATATTTGATCTTAGCAAATGCAAAAGCCCCCCAAAATTAACATTATTCTCATATTGAAAAAGTTCGTAATTGCAATAAATTTTATTATGTAGAGTTCTTAAGCGGGAGCAGGATTTTTCTAGCCTTATACGATAAAAGAATACTACGTGAAGCTCAAAGGGTCACCATCTCAACTTGGGAAAATCATTGGACAAGTACCATTGTAGGAAGACTTCAGCAAGGAAAAATCCGCTCTTATTTGACAATGCAAGTCACAATGTTCACAGTTGTAGACAATAGAACAAAAACTCACAATGATAAGATTCTAGCTCATTATTGCTATACCGTAAATCCTCGAATTAGCCCCCTGAAGGCTTATTCATTTTTGATACTTTTGGATGGGGGCTTATTCGAGGGGAGGGGGCTTATACGAGGGGGGCTTATAAAATTATTGTAGACAATAAGAACACATTATTAAAAGACCTTGTTTATTTTAGTAGGAATTTTATTATGAGCATTTAATTAATTACTACCAAAAGTACGAATTTGTCGTGGTAATTGAATAAAACGCCATAGGCAACCTCAGATGGCAAAAACCGTCAAATTGAGGGGTCCAATTTGAGAATTTACGGTAGCAGTGGGGGCTTACTCGAGCGGGGTGCTTTTTCGAGGAAGGGGGGGGGGCAATTAGAGGATTTACGGTAATCTATGAATCACCTTCGTATTTTTGGTTCGCATTGCAGAAAAATAAACGTTTTCTTGCGAGAAGACAAAGACTCCAACACGACCACCACGTAGAGATTTGTCAACTATATTACCAGAATCTGAAATCATATTCTTCCCCTGAAAAAGAGCAACAATTGATTGCAAATAAACTAGAGATATGAAGTGGGAGAAATATGACACAATTTGCATTGTCTTTGGATACTTCTTTTGACAATTACGTTGCTACAAAATTCAAATGCTAATATCCAATGTATCTTGCTGTGCCAGCCCGTGGAAGATAGTGAGGGTTATCATCTCGTCGTGTTAGAATTTAGGCCGTATGTCATGTTCTAATGTTGAAGACTAGCTCTCCATCTTTTCATTGTTTTAATGGAACCTGAAATATTAACACTTTGTCTTGTCCAATTCAACCATGCTGCAATGAGTTTGATCCTCACCTCCGGCAATAATCTATGTTTGACCCCGTTTATATTGTTACCCCCTCTGAACAATAGTATTAAATATTCGCATAGATTATAGCTAGCCTCTATCTGAGATTACACGTGCTGTAAGTTAGGCCTTCTTATTTTATTCATGAAATTCTTATTTCAACACGATATCCCATCAGAAACCTAAATACAAGTTATGATAAGCTAAATAGATTAACGATGGAGACAAAAATATAAAAAAATTATTTAAAAATATGAGTGAATTAAAGTAGAATGACGTCTGATCTTCCTGGGAGTCGTGTTTTTATTTGGGTTTCTTGAGCTCTTCAGATGAGCTTTTAATTTTTGTTTGAATCGATAGAGCGAGGGGATCTCTCTTAATTCTATGGGTATTTCTGTATTTGGTGAAGATTATGTATTATAATGGTGAAGATTACCATATATCGAAGTCCAATTTCGTCTCATATCTGGCCTATTACAATATAACGGCGGATCAGTTTCGATCTGCACCAAAACTTGCGCGGAAAGTCTTGCATCCTTAACCGCCGCACTTCACCAATGCACCTCCTTAAATACTACACTTTATTACAAATATAACTCCTTAGCCGCTACACTTCATTACCACTGTACCTCCTTAAACGCTTCACTTCACCACTGTACTTTCTTAAACGTTACACTTTATTACAAATATAACTCCTTAGCCGCTACACTTCATTACCACTGTACCTCCTTAAATGCTTCACTTTACTACCACTGTACCTCCTTAAACGCTTCACTTCACCACTGCACCTCCTTAACCACTACACTCTGTTACTGTCTATTACTGCTGTACCTGCTTAACCACAACCCACTTTTTTCATTGTGCCACCTTAACCGCTACACTTCACTACCACTGTGCCTCCTTAAATGCTTCACTTTACTACCACTGTACCTCCTTAAACGCTTCACTTCACCACTGCACCTCCTTAACCACTACACTCTGTTACTGTCTATTACTGCTGTACCTGCTTAACCACAACCCACTTTTTTCATTGTGCCACCTTAACCGCTACACTTCACTACCACTGTGCCTCCTTAAATGCTTCACTTTACTACCACTGTACCTCCTTAAACGCTTCACTTCACCACTGCACCTCCTTAACCACTACACTCTGTTACTGTCTATTACTGCTGTACCTGCTTAACCACAACCCACTTTTTTCATTGTGCCACCTTAACCGCTACACTTCACTACCACTGTGCCTCCTTAAATGCTTCACTTTACTACCACTGTACCTCCTTAAACGCTTCACTTCACCACTGCACCTCCTTAACCACTACACTCTGTTACTGTCTATTACTGCTGTACCTGCTTAACCACAACCCACTTTTTTCATTGTGCCACCTTAACCGCTACACTTCACTACCACTGTGCCTCCTTAAATGCTTCACTTTTACCACTGTACCTCCCGCTTCACTTCACCACTGCACTTAACCACTACACTCTGTTACTGTTTATTACTGCTGTACCTGCACTACACACTATTACCATTGTGCCACCTTAACCGCTACACTTTATTACCATTGTACCTTCTTAACCGCTACACTTTATTACCACTGTACCACCTTAACCACTACACTTCACCTATCCTACATACACTGGCAAACAGCACCAACATTTTCCTGTCCATTGCTGATTCCTCTTTACCCTTTCACGGGTACTGATAATGGCAGTTTAACTCGTTTAATTGTAATTGAGAGCTTGCTATAATCTTTGAGAATATTAGCACTTCATCAACCATTGCGGTCAGCCGTACCACTCTACTGTAAGCCTAACAAATTTCTTTCTGATCAATAGGATCAAACAAGGATTTAACTATTCATTTAATAGAAAAAACGCAAATCTACTATGATGCATATGATTTTATGCATATGAGTGTCAAACAGACAATGCGATGCAAAGAGGCTGCCAAAAACTATAAATGAATTATCGCCTGAGCAACATAGAGCCTCTGCGCACTTGAATTCGACATTCTGGTATCAGAGCATAATATGGCACCTTCCTGCATGATAACTTCTCAGTTGTGAAAAATAAGTAGCACTGGTAGGAAAGTTGGGAATTCAAAAGAAGAGAAGATCGCATGTCGTCTATTTTTCGTAGTTGGCAAAGCAGCTACGTTCGAAGGCAAAACACAAAACTTGCAAGACACGTTCGTTTGCACATAAGGTAATATCTTTGTTTGTTAGACTTCTTTATTAAAGAAGAATTATTGTCCTCTAGACCATTGCCCCAGCCCATTATTCCACCCACTATAAGTACATCTTCCTTGGTTTATCGTATGGCGTGTTCAGAGACACTTTACCCGCTGCATTTCTTTCCTAAATCTCGCTCGCCTGTTTTGTTTCGATTGTACGCACGACCACAAGGCTTTATGTTGCTCGGGCTCCTTTAAGACAGCCACACTAAGAAGCATCGTTTTACAAGCCTTTTTTCATCCTTTTACACGCTTGGCAAGAATGGCCTAACAGAAAAAGCTGTGTTTTTCCTTGGCAGCACTTTTCTCCTAAATCAAGAAAAAAATATAAACAAATGCCTAGCAAAGCAGTTCAGTATTTCCGAACTTACTTGATACCAAGAAATTCGCATTCTTCCCGAATCAGGATTATGCACCAATTTCCACTGATATGACACGTTGAAACTCCAAACTGGTGACTTATCATGCCACAGCAATGTTGATTGGTTGATAGCGTTACCGGTTTCCCATAATGCATCTCTCATCGCTATCCCAGGACCAGTCGAGGAATGAAATTTCTAAAAACATGAAAAATATTATAACTGTGAAAGATGTATGAATCGAGATAAATAACTTCCTTAAGGTTGACAATTGACATATGCTGAATAGTGGGTTCACATTCGCCATTTCTCTAGAAATTTAGAAGATAGGAGCTTCCAGCTTAAAAGTACTTGTCAAAGGTTCCCCTAATTTAACAATTTTCCTCCATTTCCCTTCCCATGGCACCACATTTCCCTTCCTATGAGCCGATTCACCTGCTAACATCAATGAGAGGTAGTCAGCTTCTTTCTTAACAAATTATATACAGAATAAAGTATGTTGACGCTTACTTCTTGCAATTTTATCGTTTATGTGAAGGACACTAAACCTTATTTAGGATAAATAAGATTAATGTTGTGGGAATTCTACCCCGCCACCATGGTCTACACCCAGTTATCAGGCTCCTCGACACGGTGCCGCTGCGCAGCAAGGTATGGAGTCTGGTGACGACCCATGGTGCCTAGCCAAAGTGTTCGAGGGAACATGGTTTTAGACTGGAATGTTTGATGTTTTCGTTGAGTTTTTATGCTATTTTTGCAAGGGAATCACTTGTTTTTTGTAGATATTCTTCGTATCAACCAGTATCGACACCCAAGATGTGGCAGGCTAACATTTAGCAAAACGAAAAGTTTATTTAGATAAAACAAAGGATTGGTTTACGTGCTATGAAAAGCATGCAGATACATTGCAATCGTTTAAAAAGAGAAGAACTGAAAATTACCAACAGAGATTGTGTGTTTCTGAGCGTGTGGGTCTTAAGAAAGTTCATAAGGATTAAAAATGATGCTTATGGCACATTACATAACAGATACATAAGTATATTTCTAATGAACGCTGTGAAGATAAGAATTATATTTTTGAGAATTAATATTTTTACCTTGAGGCTAATTCCCTTTCTACCATAAGCCCGAGGATAAGGACCAGCATTCTTCAAGTTATAGCTCTGAGAACCTCTTTTCCATGAACAGACGTAAAACTTCCTACAAAGTGAGGCGAATGAATTTTGGTTTTGAGGTGTCTTTAAAGTAACAGTAGCAAAGATAGGCTTATGGCTCAAATAAATTACCCTGGCACAAAACTGGAACAGTGAACATCAATCTAGGGTCAATTAAATTGAGATGTACACAAATTTGATGACAAATACGTGAAGATATATTGAAGTTGGCTTGACTGAATAAAGATTAGATTCAATTAGTCTTGTTTTACTTCAGAGAAAACTTCATCAAAATTTGTACAGCTTGTTCAGATGCATAGACAGAAAGAAATTATGTTGAAATGAGCTGCATGCTGAAGAAAATTCTAAGGTCCGCTGTGACGAAATCGTCTTAGCTCGAGCCATTTCAAATCCAACAGGATATTTTGCAAACTTAACGAAAAAATCTTGTTCAATTGCAGTTTATAAGATAATCCGACCCACATTTTGAAATAGGACGTAAGAAGGAGCGTTTCGAGATAAAAGGACTTGGCATTTATGTAGAACGGTATTGACAACAGAACCGAGGCTGAACTGAGCAATGCTTAGTAGATGAATATAGATACCTGTTGCTTTGGAAACCAAAGATTATGCCAACATAATCATCATCAGGCGTGACGCCGAATGGAGGACTTCGGATCATCAAAGTCCCGGTAAAAATGAGATCCCCGAAGAATGTTTTGCTTAACAAAGCTCCAGGATTGCTAGAAAATGACAAAGTAACAGAAGGATGAATATGAGAAAGTAACGTGGTGTAAAAGGGTCCAGCAAAAATGGTTAACATAGAAGGAAGATGATACAAGGTAGGTTACAGTATAGCGATAAATGAAAAATGTTATGGGCCTTACCCATTGATTGTCTGCAAAATTTCTCTCCCCTGATCGAACTGAAACCATTTCGGGGGGTCTTGTGCTGTTCCTTTGCCATCGAAAATCACCATATCTGAAACCCTAAAGTCAGTCTGATTTTTCGAAGCATTCAACGGAAAGTCATCCTGCAAAAAAGTTAGAGTTTATAGAATGCTTATTGTTGAAAATAGCATCTAAATCAAAATATCAACACAAAAGTGAGTAAATCTGATACGAAATAATGGAACAAACTTTGTCATTATCAACACCGTCGCCATCATCATCATCTTCGCAAGCGTCGCCAATACCATTCTTGTTCCCATCCACCTTAAAGAAACAGCAATATTTTAAAGCCAGAAAAGACTTGCTAGCTGGGAAGGCAGAAGTGTGTATTAGCAGGGACCTTAGAAGCGAGGGGGGGGGGGCAGAGGGGGCTTAGTTCCCCTTATAACTTCCAAAATGTACTTTAAACCATATAAACACTGTATTGTCCTGGTTTTAGCCTATTTGGCAACCTGAAATTGGATTAGCCCCCTTTATCTGAATAATGCTCTGTGATCCTTGTGTTTTATTATACTATACTATGACTGTAAGTTCAGAAGTAGCTAGGAAATGAAGGCCAATGATTTGCTATGAAAACACAGTAGACAGCCAAGAAGAAGGAAATGAAGGACAATGATTTGCTATGAAAACACAGTAGACAGCCAAGAAGAAGGAGATAAAGGACAATGATTTACTATGAAAACACAGTAGACAGCAAAGAAGGAAGGGAGGGGGGGGGGGGAGAGAAGGCGGGGGTTTTCTCTCGAATTTTTTGTCTTTCGATCCTTTTATAAATGTGTCCCTACTATATGTGCACTCTATGTACATCTGCTTATCTTAATAAGATTTATTCTTTCGACATGCATTGAAATAGTTAAATTGTTTATGCTGTACGCTATTTCTTTTTGTAGATACAAAAATTGCCAGTAAACCAAGTACGGCACATTTTGGCTAAACATTTTGCCGTTGAATGATATCAACGATGAATTTTACAGGCATCGAAATCACGAAACAGCCTGGTGTTTAACTTGGCTATGAGCATTGCCATAGGGCAATCCTGCTGTTTTATTGATTGAATGAGCAGTACCTGATCACGATTGGCAACAAGTGGGCAATTATCATCAAGATTTCCAATACCATCTCCATCTTTGTCCGCATCACATGCATCGCCGACATCATCTCTGTCCGTGTCCGTCTGAGAAGGAGAAATACATCATTATCAAAGACATCTGTACAATTTTATGCCAGTGCAAACGAAAGAATCATGAAACATTATCCATATTCAAAATGTTGGTTGGCAATTAAACCATGCAACCTAAACCTGACTGCTCTTTGTTTTTATTGCCAGAGGTGTGTCCCTTACTCTCCCACCAGCAAATTTGTAATAGTTCTTCAAAAAGTTCTCTGGCAAAAACCAACCTGTATGAAAAGTTTAACAACAGTTTCCGTTTTGTGCTATTATATGCCAACCATCATATTCACATATTTCAGCTATATGACAATACAACAAAACCTGATCGCCATTGGCTGTATCCTTGCAGTTGTCATATTTGTCCTTTATCCCATCTGAATCCGAGTCCGGACCGTCCTGGCATGCATCTCCAACAAGATTATCATCTTCATCCTTTTGATCCGCATTCGCCACATCCCTGCAGTTGTCACAAACATCGCCAACTCCATCCGTGTCGTTATCCTTCTGGTCCGGATTATACACCAAAACACAGTTGTCACTTTCATTCAATACTCCATCGCTGTCCACGTCACTTTCACATGCATCTCCGATTCCATTTTTATTCGTGTCAACCTGGTCTGTGTTATTTACAGAAGGACAGTTGTCGCAAGCATCTCCAACACCGTCCGGTTCCCTATCCGTTTGATCAGCGTTGCTTACGAGCGGACAGTTGTCATGAGAGTCCGAGATTCCGTCATTATCATCATCGTCATCACAAGCGTCACCTACAGAAAAATAAAGTATTATCTAAATCAGTTTGATTAAAAATCAATAGAAATTTACCTGTAAATGGATTTCGATAAAGACTCATTGAAGTTAAGACTCCGATAAAGACGTTAAGATTCCCTGAAGACTCTCAAGCAGAAATGTTTCGGATTAATTTTACCTGGCCTAAATATCTGGCTTTGATTCAAAGTTCGGATCCAAAATTCGAACAAAGAATCACAAGTGTGAAAATTTCAAAAAGTGTGTCTTGAAAAGGAAAGGTTGTATTTGTAATGCGCAGTCAACACCTGTATTACAGAGATAAATACATTCATGAAAAGACTAAATACTGATACAGCATGACTTGAAACATAAAGGCGCAATGCTAAAAGCTAACTTCCCTTGCTGAATTGACATACGTGAGATTATGGTCGAATTCTCATGAAACAGGAAACTCATTTTCTAAGGAATCTGATCATTTCTCAAGACAGTTTTCAGATATGCAACTAAAAATATTGATTTTCTTACTGTTGTCAAAAGATCTCCTGATATAGTGTCAAGGAATGCCTGACAACTTCATAGAAAAACAACTTAAAAACAGTATATGGTTCATAGTTTTAACTGGAACTGCAAACACAATCACCAACAATAACATCGAATCTACAAACCCTTTCCATCCCCATCAAAATCCTCCTGACCACTGTTTGGAAGCGACACACAGTTATCCATCGTGCAGGATTTGGAAGTGCAAGGTAATGCTTTGTCAGGTATCCCATCTGCATCGGTATCGTTTCCGCAGTTAATACCATCGCCTGCAAAGCCAGCATTGCAAGTGCAACGGTATTTGCCGGGTTGGGTACTCTTACACGAGGCAAGAACACTGCAGTTGTGCGTGCTAAGATCACAGGGGTTCGAGGCAATGCACTCTGTAGGAGAGGGACGTATGATTAACGGTAAAGAATACAAATGAGAAAAACGAGAAATATTCGAGTTTCGGTAAATATCTTTGAGGGATCGACATCAAAATTTGTTCCTTTATCGGTTTCTAATAACAAAATTGGCAAGAACAATTACGGATTGTCACTCTCCAAACAAGCCAATTTTTAACTTCCAAAAACTCTCTTGTAGTGCTAGTAAGGCTAGGGAGACTAGGCCCCTTCACCGATCGCAAAGTTACCAGTTTCCATTCTTGCTATTGCCAAGGCCCTCTCTTTAATCATATTACAAGACCCACCTCTCTGTTGCACTGCACAATGGCAGTGGCTCAGTTATGATACACAATTAAACTGAACAACTTTACCTGACCATTGTCTGCTCCACAATCCACTGGACAAGCATTTCGATTCTGGTTTTAAGCTTACGAATCCTACTTGATTGCACGTCAGAACACACGTGCTTGCTACATTGTTTTCATCAGAACACCTCCAATGGTGACTCGAATGGTTAGATGTAGGCTAAAACGAAATAAAACCCAAACAATATAAAATAAAGTCGATCAAATTCTTTATACCTCTCAAACCTACAGAATAATTATTGTGAACGCTTGTGCTCAATTGGCAACAGAAACAAGAAAAATGATAGGGGTAGTTTAATCTAAAATGGCTTACGATTCAATACACGAAAAAGGGACAGTAACTGAAGAATGAGATTAATAATGGCGCAACATAAACACGCATGCGGGTGAGGGGGTAGGTATCTATTTGATCTTTGATGGGGTGAGTAACTCCCAAGAAATGTTTTAAGATTGTATAATATGAACATATGTCAAAAGAAAGAATGCAGTAGTTTTCACAATTTGTTAGTACCTATCGTTTTTGCTTCGTTTTGATTTTTATGAAATTTTCTGGTAGTTTGCCTTTATGTTTGCCTTTATGTTTAAGTATGTTTCCTTCTAGCCATCACTAAATATCAGCGAAGTCAATAATTTATAATTATATTATGATCAATATCAACAGAATATTTCCACATGTATTTGATATCAACCAAACAGAATTGCAACAATGAAACGAGGCAAAACTAATGTGGTTGCCATTGGTTGACATTACCTGAACGAAGACGAGGCTAGATTGTTTAAGCAATTGGTATGTAGACTGTTAAATCTGAGTTCCACGATTAATGCGATCATCAGGCACTGTGCATCAGGCAACCGGTCTATGACCAGTACATTAGTAGAAGGTTTATGACCAATACATTAGTAGGTTTATGACCAATAGTTCTTCGAAAGAGTTCTTTCTAGACATCTTTCAAAAGTGTCCGAAGCTTGATTAATATTTAAGGTAGGATAAAAGTTTAGAATACATTGGAGGAAGGAAAGGATCATTATCGAAGTCTTGGTCAAAAATAAGAGTAGAGAAGGGCGTGAATTTATACTTACTAAAAATGGAGTACAAGTTCTTGAGACAGTGGTCGTTCGCAACGTCGGCCTTGCAGTGGTTCTTATCACCGTTGTGTTCACAATTACAGTTCTTGTAGAGGCATTTGTAGCCTTTGGACTGGTGGTTGTAGGTGCAGTCGAAGGCCTTGCTGTACCGCTGCTCTGAAAAATTGGAAAAGTTGGAAAATCAGATGAAACATCTTAGTCTTTGCAATTCAGTCTTAGCAACTCTATTTCAATTCCAAAAAAAGTTTTGCTTTATCAATGCGTTTCTATTCTTAGCAAAACTTTCATACAGGACATATAAATAAGAAATGGGAAGAATGTAAGAATCATAAGAAAAATTCTAGCTTTGAAAAAAGAACACCTCCAATGAGAACACCTCCAAAAAGAACATTCTAGCTTTCAAGTTATGTACAGCCAAAAAACTGTTCAAAAATTCTAGCAGTCGATGTTAATTGCTGCGTAGAATAATTTTGAGATCAAGCAAATACAGCATAGATCAGCTAGAAGTATCACGCAGTTCATTATTATGATACACAACCTTCGTTGGCGCGGTTCCTTTGGACTTCTCATTTTTTGCGAGATAAACTGAAAAAGAATTATTCTATTAATGCACAAAGATTTCCTTGCTGAATTCAAAAATAATACATGACATTTATTCAGAAACTACTTTTTCTTGAAAAAGAAAACTGAAAATGGCTTTGAAAAAGCAAATTTTGAAATTCACAAGCTTTCCGTCTGAAATGTCAGATAGAAAACTCTACGCTAGGACATTAAACATTAAGCAAATAACACAAAACCGTTTTGAGTGAAAATCAAATGTATGTTGCTTTGATGGTATTTTACTAATTCTTCATCGCCTTGTCTCTGCATCGAGGCTCGCTTTGCAGAGCACAGTTTATTTTGTTCTGATAAGAGATGTATTCCTATTGGCTATTTCAACTCACTCTTGACAGCAATTTATTAAATTCCCATTTACCACAACAGTACACACCCCGATCCATCAGTTTTTTAAGAAAAGATGCGGGAAGGGCTTGCAGGGTGCACAGCGACCGCGTTGCTATGAGGAGGCTCGAAGAACTCAACTTGGAGTTCGCCGAGTGTCCTCCAATTAGGGTTTCTTCCAAATATCTGAAACCGGACCTTGGTACTGACCTGAAACCGGAGTCAAAACAACAATCAGAACAATAACTATTGTTGATATCATGATTGCTATCTTTGCACATCTTCTCCTTGATTTCTCCTTTTCAAATGCTCTTTTTGGTGCTTCAGGACCATGATTGCCCTCTTGCCAGTTTTGCACAGGTGCTAGTTCTACAGGCTAAAAGAAAAAGGGTGAAAATTTGGAAGTCACGTGCTCGAAGAACAGGAAAAGGGCCTATGAAAACGATTGGATTTCATGTGTCGCGCTCAAACCCTAATTTGTTTTATTGTTTCTTTGAGGAAGGTTCTATGAGCTTGTGGATTTGCAATTTCATTTTGAAATTCATCTTGCAAAGGTTGTAGTTTAGTTGCGAAACTGTTTAACAATTAAACCCTGCAACTAAAGATAAAAATTGATTAAAATGCCTGATATATTTTACATAATTAATGTACTTTATATACTTAACATTCTTGATATACTTCATTCCTAATTACAAATTCATAATAAATATGATGAAAGCTTATATCATATAACAATAATTTTATATATAACAACAAACACAACTCATTTAGACATAAAGTCATTGAAAACACCTCATCGACTAATATGACTGTCATTAAAGATTGGCTTGACAAAAATAGATTGAAAATAGATAAAGGAAAGACGCAAAGGATTGCTATGCGACTTTGCTTCAATGGGGATTCAATAGTACCGTTGCAACTTGCAAGGTCACCTGATAAACTTTACGTCTAGATATAATTATCTTGGAATGTAGCTGGATCCTCCCCTAAGCCTGAGCGACCATTCACATAAGGTGTTTAAAAAGTCTTTTCTTAAGCGTTCCTTTAATATTTTCAGTATGTTGTTTGGTGTTGTGCTGGGGAAGAATTTACAATTCCACGGCTTTGATTATTTGCACCTTCACAGACAGGAAAAACTGTTAATTAAGGGTAATTAGAACAACTAATAAACTTTTATCAATCGGTGATCACCTATAAGATGATGAATAACATTCGATCTGAAAGCCTTTGGGATAAACACAAAACAAGAAATACGTACTCAAGTTATAGATAAAGAAACTGCACGGATATTCAAATTCCGAGAAATAATCTTGAGTACTCAAAGAAAAGCTTTCACTATTCGGGGCTTGAAACGAAATCCCTACTACTATCAGGGAGATCTCTAATTTGAAACATTTTAAAAAACACCTCAAAATACATTTGAGGAGCTGTATTCAACTCCACGACTCCCTAGAAGATCAGCTCCATCCTAGTGTTATGAATTTTTATGTACATTTTTTTGTATGATTGTAAATTTAATTTTTGCTGATGGGATTTTGCTTAAAAATAATATATAATAAAAATGATATATAATAGAATAAATAATAACAATCAGAATAATTATCATTCTTGGAATAACGATAATGTAAAGGAGCCATTCTTAGTTATTTAAAAGATTTTGCAGCTTTTTACAAGTGCCAAATATCGGTAAACTGTAACTATAGTCAGACGAAACTGCATGAAATCGTCAATCATGGTAGCGGAAAATAATGTTACTTTTCTAGAAAACTTATTCTTTTCCGAAATAGATATCAATAAACTAACCAGCTACCTTTGACTCAATATTGCTTTCAGGAGAAATCTTGTTACGTCCGGCTTTAACGCGATATTCCGGTCCAGGATCGGCTTCCAAAAGACCCATGTCTTCAGTTTATTGTTCCACACAACTCTTAAGCACCGAGTTTACATCAAGAGAGAGACTGCCAATAGAGACAACATCTGCACCATTAATATCCTAGGTCTACAGATTCGTGATACATAATCGATGCAAAGAATACCTTCATAAGAATCGATAGAGAAGTTGATCTACTAAGATCTCGTGTTGAATTTGGGACAAACATGAAAGTGGTATCAAATTTCGATACCCAAGATTGCAAGTTACATGTTATGAACACCAGTGATCTGGTTATGATTCGGTATAACTGTAATCATGATTTTAATGATATGTGCAACGATGCTGATTGATCTAGTTCATGTGACTTCAACGATTGGATCTTTATACAACGATTGGAACAAAAGCTGCTTTCATTGACAAATTGACAATGATTCATGCGCTACATAATGTTGATAAGCTGATTGATAAACTAATTCCAATGATAATCAAAATTATACTGACCGACTTAATACCTGGCAATATTGGTATACTTGCATCAGTACCTGTGAATCAATCGATTCATTAGAATATAGCAATGATATTGCCTCAAGGTATTATAAAAAAATACAGGTACAAGATTACATTTTTTTAATCTCCCTATTATGCAAAACTATAAAAAGAATGATAGTTAACGAATGTTTACCTAAATGGTCCAAAATGAATGCTGACCTACAGTTGCAACATCGAGAATGTAACCAGTGGTAACTATTACCTACCAATGAAAACCTTCTCAACTGCCCCAGTTTTCTGTACAAGATTTGTACAGAGCCACTTCTACAAGCCAGCCAGTGCCTCTGCCAACCAAACTTCCAAAAGACATATGCAGCTGAAAACGTTTCCCCGCGCAGTAAACGACAGTCGCATGTTTCTATCGGATACAGAAAGCGATCCTTTTACAAAAACTGAGACATGAGCTTAAAACTGGATAGGTTGGCGCTCACACTACTGTTACGGTATTTATTGTTATCCCTTGATACATAGAGGCATTTGCAGTCAATCAGGCAGGATTTCGATGGCCTCTGGTCACGAAGACAATCGTATCTTTCAATCTTTCTTTTATGTTACTATGGATTAGCAAACGAAAGAGTCGTATTTTTTTACAAGACACAATGTTATAACCCGTAAGGAATGACAGTTGAAATCATAAATACTCTTTTCAATAACACATTTTCAATAGATTTAGATAGATGTTAACCGGTCCCTCACTACGTACTCGATGCCTATAGGCCGTGATATCATGTAGGGATCAATCCCGCCCGATTGGAACGTGTTATATTTATGTTTATGGTGGCCTATTAGGCAGATTGTAGATAACTCAACACCAACAACATAACTTTACATAACTCAACTAACATAGCAATATATAGGGTCTGGGTCCTAGCGTCCCTTCGTGGAACAAACATAACAGAAGTTTCCTTATTTGGTTGATGCACCAAGAGGATAATGACCTGATACAAACGTGCAAAAACTGTACGCCAGTCATTCAAAATAGAGAAATTTAAGACACTTCCTGAAAAAATAGCGCTGCACTTCTGCTATTGAATGCTTTTTTACTTTTTTAATTTTCAAACAATAATTAGGATGGCAATCTTTTTAACTGTTTATTTTATTTTTACTTAAGCTGGTGTGTTGTGTTGTGTTTTGTTGTGTTGTGTTGTGTTCGGTTAGGTTGTGTACTATGTTGTACTGTGCTCTGTGGTTACGTTGTGTTGTGCTCTGTGGTTGCGTTTTGTTGTGCTCTGTGGTTGCGTTGTGTTGTGCTCTGTGGTTGCGTTGTGTTGTGCTCTGTGGTTGCGTTGCGTTGTGCTCTGTCGTTGCGTTGCGTTATGTTCTGTGGTTACGTTGCGTTGTGCTCTGTGGTTGCGTTGTGTTTTGTTTTGTGATTGGGTTGTGCTCTGTGGTTGCGTTGTGTTGTGCTCTGTGGTTGCGTTGTGTTTTGTTCTGTGGTTGCGTTGCGTTATGCTCTGTGGTTGCGTTGTCTTGTGCTCTGTGGTTGCGTTGTATTGTGCTGTATCAGATTAAGATAGCCGTCCTATATATCTACTACAAAAGAAATTAACTATGCTGAAGGGCAGTGCACCTCTAAAATGAATAAAAATGAAATGAAGCTGTGCAGGCTTAGGGGAACAGAATAGAAAAATCAACTTAAAAAACGCTTTCGATTTTAAAAAGAGGCCTTGACAAAGGTTTAAAATTGACATACGAAACAGAATGCCAATAAAATATCTCTGATATTCACTTCTAACAGATCTTCGATAGGAAACACTGACCTTTCCACTTTGCGAATAGGCAACTACGTGACCTTCTCAAAACCTTGTCACTCAAAAGGATTCAAGACAGAATAAGTAGGATCTTGTTTTTGCACAAAGCGAACGATAGACGTCAGCTCAGCAGTGCTGGAAAGATTAAGCTAGGAAATTTCGCTGGCAAAATTAAAATGACTTCTTTTGAAATCCAATGAAAGTTACCACGTATCAATGCAGCTTAACGTAAATTTCCTGTTATTTCCTGTTTCCTGTGCTTGTTATAAGGACAACATTAGGTAAATTTTTTACTGTTTTTAAAATTGTGACAGGGTTCACATTGAAGCATGCATTGCTTAATTAGGTAGTGTTTTGGCAAGAACCAGAACTTTGTGGACAGTAGCGGCGCCAGCCTCTAGGTTCCGGGGGAGGGAGGTTGGCAAAATAAAAATTTTAGGCCATGCCTCTTTATCAAAAAGGAACACCAATTGTACCTGAAGAGAACGCCTGTGGCTGCCTTCTGGATACCCAAAGGCAGTTTCAAAATCATGTATTGCATCACACAAAGTAGATTGCCGAAAAGTACACATCCTCTAAAATTTTCTCATTAAAAAAAAGTCGAAATATAAATCGATCCTGCCGAGAAAAGGGGGAGTGGGGGGGGGGGGGTGTGCGCTTTGGTTTGTGTATATTACTACTGCGCGTTGGAAACGACACCCTAAAAATTTCGATGCGACAAGTTACAAATTCTAGGGTGGTGGGAGCACAAAATCAATGGGGGAGAGGGAAGGTAGCGTTTTTGACGCCTTCTGTTCCTCATGGAAAACCCCCTGTTGTGGATATAATAGAAAACTGTTATGAGCTGCGCATTAAAGTCCTTAAAAATCATCTATCAAAATACCAACCAGTTAATCTATCTAAGTTTTTCACTTTTTCGAGGAAACAAATCTTATACCAGAAATAATTAGAGATAACACCTCTTTTGCTGAAACCTACATGCTTTCTCTGTCTGAATATTTCAAAAAATAACAATTGTCCGAAAATCTAACTGCTGCATCCAAGCCAGAGGAACTTTGGTTTTGATAGTAATGTAAAAATGAAAGAAAGTGTGATGTCAGTAAAGTGTTTATAGGGAACGTATTGTTGGTTGTGCTGGATCTAGAAAACCAGAGCTTTCAAAACATTGCTACGTTTCTGTTTAAATGGCAACTCCGTTTGAAATCGATATGCCGGCTAAGCTCCCATTTCTGCGAATTACAAGACCGTCAAAAGAACCCCCCCCCCCCCCAATAATCATCAAACTGTACTACATTTAATTTATGTTAGTGTACTGAATGGGAAAAAATACAATGGGCAATTTCTTGGTGATTTAAACCCATTCTATTTTAAACTAGAAAAGTTACTTTCGCTGATTTAATTACCTGAACCTCACTCTCCTAGTTATGAGCAAAGCAGAATTGAGTTTAGGATCAACCAGTTTTGCGTCAAGTCTCCTTAGCTCAAACCCTTCTAAAACTTGGATTACAGGGCCATTGTTATTGGGGGGGGGGGCGAGAGTGGTGTGACACCCCCTAGTGTGCTTCCTCAGCAAAAATTCAAAGTAAGTGGGGCCTTGAAACCCCCCTTAGGCATAGTAGCTAGTGACCGCGTTGCTTTGACCAAGAGTAAGTTAGAAAAGCTTTCTGTCAGAAATACTTCCAATATAGGCCCCTATCTCCAACTTTAAGCTAAGATATCTCTAAAGATGTAGGTGCATTTTTTACTTTCGAGGTAAAGGCTTATAGGTACTTTTTTGCTGAATAAAGGTTGTCTATTGCATTGACTGGTTTTCAACTTTTTACGAGTGTTACCAGTCTACGAGTTTTGATAATTGCTGCTCCTCCACCAATGGCGGCGCCAGCCACTAAGCTCTGAGGGAGGGGGGGCAAACCAAAAAAATTTAAGCCACGCCCTTTTTACCACCAGAAAACGCCCTTTTACCAATTTATCCGAAGGGAACGCCGATTTTATCCGAAGGAAACGCCTAAGACTAACTTTTGTTTGAAAGTTGGCAGTTTGAAAATCATAGGATTACATCACATAAGGTACGGTGTCAAAATATTACCCCTCCCCAACATTTTCTCATCGAATTCAGACGAAATACGAAACTCGATTCTGCTGAGAAGTGGGGGGGGGGGCGTGAGAGGTGGGCGCCGCTACTGACCTCCACACTAAACATTTAGAAATGAAGACCGTGAACAAAACTGAGAACGATGACTAGAATCACGCCAAAGTGTATGTTAGTATCGATCAAAACGGAGGAAGTCGGAAAATAGGAGCAGGATGAAAACGTAGAATCTTGCCTTATATTCTTTGTTTTGACAGTTCACGACTAAGCATGTCTTTCAATGACTATGAGGTCTTTGCAAAAATCGTTTGCAAATATTCACTTTATGAGGTTTCTATCGGTCACTTCCGTGCATTACAAGTAATTCCCTTAACGTTTTGAAGCCACTTTAAAACCGCAAGTTCTCTTTGGAAAAAAGTTTTCTTGTCAAGCAAGTGTTGATAATTCGCTTTAATTTCGATTAAATTGACCTCAATAAAAGAGATAATGCAACAGACGTGCACACTGAAAAACAAGTCAAATGAAACAGTGCCTCCCGTGTTGCTGACGTCATAAGCTATCCCATAATGCCATTGCCAGTAAGCGGCCGTTATCGTTGAACCTAGCTGTCATTCGTTCTTCTCCAGGCGTCGCCTTTTCAGAAGCTCACACTAAATCGCAGAAAGACAGGCGCAAGATCCATTTGCAAACAAGTTGCAGCTCCTTCGTAATCCTTTCGGATTACTATTAATCCACCATTCGGTTCTATTTCTAATATTCAATCTTAATGTACTTCAGATGGATATCTGCAAAAAACAACTTTGGATCCAATTTCGAAGGCAAAGTCTTTTCAGAAGTATTTTTGCTGTGTCGCTGATTCTATCCCAAAAAGGAAATAGGACTTAAGCAGAAAAACAGAAAAGAATTGCGCATGTAGTTCAATGAAAAATTTCAAGCCGCGATTAAAAATTCAACAGCTACTCAAACATGACTAAATGCCACAGGATTGCATTTGAATGGACTTGAAAATACGAGATGAGAGAGTGTATAGGAGAAAGCATTTCGCTGGATACATCAAAAGTTAAAAAATCAGGGCATTGGGCCAGGGACGCCGGAACGACCTAGAGGCAAGGGGACAGGTCTGAATAAAAAGGCAATTCCAAGCCACCAACATTTTTTCGTAACTGTCATTTTGTTTCGATCTTCTGAAGTATCTTGAAAACCGGCTGACTTTTGGCACAAGAAATTTATTTTCAAGTTTTGAGAAATGTGTTCACAAATAAGGCAGTACAGTCATAATTTTATATGAATCTTTTGATAATTACAAACCAATGGCACTTTTTAGAAAAAGGCACTTTGGCAAAAGGGCCGGTTGACCCACCGCGCCCCCTCTCCGGCGTCCCTGAATTGGGCAATGAGTATTGAAGCCTTGTCCAGAAACTCACACAAATATAAAAAAATTAGGTGTCTTTACCCCTAAGTTTTCAAAATCAATTCTTCGTCAGAACAGCCCGGATTTTGAGCTATTAGTAACCAAAAACCGTTACCTAATCGATGTGTTTCTGCATTGCATTAGGAGAAACGGTCGTAAAAAGCATCAAAAAATTTTTTTTCCAAGCTCATGAGATAACGTGAGTTAACACGAGTTAATTTTCATGAGATAACTTTTAATGAGCGTTTCCCAAAGTTTTGATGAGATAATTTTTAAACCATGTCAGATCACAAAATTATCTCAAATTAACTCACGTTAACTCATAGTGGAAACCAAGGTTAAGCATAGCATTTCTACCCCCTATGAAATCCCACCAGGCGCCAACCTTGTTAAAAATTTTTAGAAACTAACCTTGTCGGTACCACGTGGGTTGAAAAGAATAAGGCAAAAAGAACTACTACGCAAGGGACAGGAACATACCACAATCCGATCCGAAAACAGTTCGTGATCATTAATCACCGATGATTATCATGATAATTTTGTTATTTTAATGATACATTTCTATTTTTTGCACACTAATAATTATTAATATTTGTTGTTTTTAAAATTATTATGTGTCTTGATTCAAATAAAGATCACAATAAATACATTGAACCAAAGTCCACAAGCAAAACAGCGTAAGCAAAATGTGTGCCACAATTGGGACTAGAGGGGGTAAGAGGAAACTTCCTTCATATTGGTTTCCCCTCCACTTTAGGCTCGGTTGCGCAGGTCCTGCTAAATTGATAGGTGCACAAAACTCAAACTGTGTACAAAGCTATAAATGGGGGGGAGGGGGTGGTGTAAATCAATGAACAGGCGTTTGCCAGTGAACTTTTTCTCCGTGGAAGAAAGTGTGCCTTCTGCTATTAGTTCACCCGAGATTGGGTATTAAAAAGAGAATGGATTTCATTCCATATCGTTCCTTCAAATTGATTTGAAATGATTGACTACAGGAGTTTGTTTTCTCTTTTGGACTCCAGTGGTAATATTTCTTTAGGCACGCGGCACTGATTGGACAACTATATTGGTCTTGTGCTTGCGTTTTTCTGATTGGCCTATCTCGATCCACAACTGGGTATATATTTTTCATCGTGTTCTTTCGGACCCTTGTTCTGACGTTATATGCTCTGAGGAGTGTCAGACGAAAAAGCTGGTAGCCATTATGTTGTAAAATTTTTGTTTTTTTCAAAGCAATTGACTATTTCTTCACCTTAGATTGATGTCTACTTTTAAGTCAACGCTGGAAGGTCTACCATGTGAGAAGCTAAAAATGAGCATGTTGACTCTGGAACAAATTGGTCCCTGTTATATAAAACATCTATCGGTGGTACGAACGACCACCACAATGAAACTGCAGGACGGTCTTGGCTTGAATGAGGACTAGCCTGGTACTAGAGTTGGTCAGAAGAATGAAAAGAGACTGGAAACACAATCGAAAAATGTTTTTGTTTACCTGAATCTTGCGGTCTTTGAGTGGGCTTAGCAAGTTCGAGTTAAAGGCATTGATGAATACAGCACAGCAATGGCGATTTCTTCACAAGTTAAGACATTCAGTGAACGACATGACATAAACAAAGACAGGGTGACGCAGAAAGCGGAAGTAAATATCTCGGCTTGGAGTGCAAAGCAAACAGTTCCCCAAATAGTAAACATGATGACATACGGTACTCCTTTGTTCACAGCAGCCACAGAAAAACTGTCAAGAGCGAGGGGCAAATCATTCAATCGAAATTTTTTACACCTTTGGTAGAAATCCTATTTTTTAATCTGCAAATTCCTCAAAACTTCTCGGGAAAATTTTTCTTAAAATCAAGTTTATAAATCGTCGATGACCGTCGCTTGGCTAAAATATTACTGCATAGGAGTTGGATGTTCATTTTTGCAAAGTGCAAGTTGATGGACATTCTAAAGCCAGTAAACATAATTGTGAAGCAGCTTCAATCGTCCAGTGAAAATCGTGTCACTCTGTAGTTAAAGCAATGAGGCAAGACCTTCAGTAACGATTTAAAAACCCGACTGAGGACCAATGCTTGAGATGGTTGCGGAGTTCTCTCGGTAAATGTGTTAAAAGAATAGTAGGACCTGATTGAGGCGGAGTCAACACGTGCATTATTAAGGTAGATTCCCCTCAGCGACATTCCATGAAGACAGAGGGGGAATGCAATCCTGCATCCCTGGCATTTGTAAGTAAGATCTTGAAGGGAGACATAACATCTGAAAGTTTTTTAGTTTAATGGAAGTTAAGTTGGCAAAATTTTGAAGAAATGTTACAACTTTTCTTTGCTTGTGTGTTTCCATTAACCATCCCCCCCCCCGACCTTAGAAGCACTTCACTTTAAACCTTGCCTGCATTGGACATTGGGAGTCTGCCACCCCTACCCCACTGACCTGGCTACGGGGTGGGAATTGCTCCTCAGTTAAGAGTCCATTTTGTTCGTAGTTTTGTAAACGCAGTAACTCAGCCTTGTTTTGTAATCAGTTTTGTATGCCATTTGCCAGTTTTGTCAAGCTTTGTATATAAAATTTATAAATACATTGATAGAAACAAACTGTCATAAGGTTAAGGGGATCGTTGAGAAAGTGGGGGGGGGGGGTCTAAAAAAGTTCGGGGCTAAAACCGAATAGAAAGAGGCTTTACTGGTATGATATTTTACATTTTTCGCAAAAATGGGGGCTAAACCCTGCTCCGCGGTGCCTGGGGCAGTTATCATCTCTTATGCTGGGCAGGGAAGCATACTACCACAGAATAGGAAATAGGCAGAAGGGTAACTCTCGTCGGTTCCTTTGTTGTTTTTGAAGCCTGAGTCAACAATAGAATTGCTTAATTCCCCTTTAACCTCGATTTCACCTATTTAACCTCGATTTCATTAGACGAACTTAGCCATGACATATCATTCATTAATCAGATATAAACGAATTAAGATACATAATTGAATTTGTTCACTATCATGGGGCATTTCGTCTCAAATAAAGTTGTCTACTTTCATTCTTTTTTAAAATTTCCCCGACAGATACATGCTGAGCCTCGTATAAGTTAACGCATGCGCTAGTTTTTTCAGGCTTCACCTGATAGGCAGGAGTTCCCCTTCTGCCTAATTCCTATTCTGTGATACTACCCTGGGGCTTCGAGGTCCAGGGGACCTTTGAATTCCATTTCAAGAATGGAATTAATCAAAAGCGGTAAAATTTTGCCTGGAATTGTAATTTGCTTAAACGAAATAAGTATTTAATGGCGGTTCCTGCATAAAACTAACGAACAGGGTCTTCTGTCGCTAGAGTTCGTCAAGAGATTGTAAAAGGATATTTGCACGCAAGATAAACACGGCAGCCGATTTGCGTTTCTTTGCCTTCAAATTGTTGGCGTGAGTGAAAAGTCGAGTGAAAAATCGAGCGAAAGATCGAATTGTTTGGCCACCCATGCTCGACTTCGCTCGATTTTGAGATCAAATGTCGAGAGAAAGGTCGAGCCAAAAATCGAATCGTTTGGCCAAGGCTTTAACATTTGGGGTGAGCTTTACACGGATGCTTGATTCAGGTCATTTTGTTATACTATATGATAACTATACTATTATTCATCTGATAATGGTCATCATGTTTAACGTTTTACTCACACATTAAGTTGTTTACATTGCCGACTGTATCTCATTTTCAGAAGCAATTTTCCTCCTTTCGCGGCAAGGGTGCGTTGCACAAAATGAGAAGAGACTCAGGGAACAAGGCATTGTGCAAAGAACAAAATGGCTACAAGTAACAACCCAGAGAGTGTTTCTCTTGAGCGAAACAGGCAGAAAAATCATAGTGCTAATTTTACATCATCAATCAAAGACAATCCTTTATGAATAAAACTGATATTTTTCTAACACCCCCGATTAGCCCAACTTTAGTTCTCATTCAGATCCAATTATTGATTACATCACAGTGATAACAAAAGCAAGTAAACAAAGGAAAACGATACCAATTCCACCGTTTTTCTATTTTCAACCTCTCTGCATTCAAATTCTCTCAAAAACATCAAACATCAAATCTTCCCTGCGATAAGCAATTCCAATGATTAATATGAAAAAGGCCTCTTGCGAACTGCAAGTTTTTTTCTGCTAACTTCACAGATTAAGACTTAGGTTTTGTTTATTCCGGTGAAAGAGAGACTCGACCTCCGTGACTTGCTAAATTATTATTGGCTAAACTTCTCTTTTTCATTCAAATATTGACAACTAGTCAACGAATAGGACTTAAAACAGCCCCGTACATGCAAAATTCTTTGGCTGAAACCAAGCTAGGATTCATCAAATTCTTGATTTGCATAACTGGTTCCTTTGTCGTCTGTTTCTCTTAAAATATCAAGTTGCTCAATAAAACACATCACAATCAAAATGTCAGTGGTGGTTCTAACTTTGAAATTGGACTTCGAGCGAAATTCTTCGCAAAATACTGATTTAATTAGGTGCACAATTTTTACAATACATACAACTAGATACGACGCTACTTTGAACAGTTTTTACAAATTTTCATCGACCTTCTATTTCGATTTTCTTTAAAAAAATACACGAGTTTCTTTGGACAGTTGGCTAACTTGACAGTCCGGTGAATTTTCCCCAGGGGCGTGTTGCATTTGTCACAAACAAGGGAAGCCTTTGTTGGACGACCTGGAATTGCATTATATTACGAAATTAAGAACACGCCAAAACTAATATGGCAATGAACACATAAATGTTTGAACAGACAATATAACATTAATAATTATAAATTATTTTCAAAATTCAGAGGATAAAAAAAGTCGATAGGAGTGATGCCTCAGATTGAATTTCATCTCTTGGCTTTAAAAAAAACCGATTGCAGTGAATACAGATTCATTCAGTTTATGGAAACCCAGAGAGACACAGCAAAGATAAAGTTTTCCATAGACGCTAACTTCCAGTCAGGAAGCTGACCACGTTTTTATAGCGTAGCGAATTATGAATAAGAGAACTCAGCATTAATTTCGATTGCTACGTCAGGCAACTACCACATCCACGCTGAATTTCCTGATTAAAATGTCAGAATGTTGGCTTAGAAAAAACTCTGTAAAACCACTATTTCTGGAAAATGAATTGGACCATACAACGTCTTAAATACACACTGTTCTTAATAAAACTTTGCGAAAGGCTATTTGGTGCAACTAAACCATTACTACCAAAAGGGACAGGACCCGATGCACCACCATACAGGCAGCGACATCTCCAGCAGCCCTTTAGTTCTCAATTTATTATATTTTATACTCTGCCAACTCAAAGCAATAACTGTGCAAATGTTTATACCTAATCGAAAAGCTGTCTTTAATATAATGTTAAACATTTTATGTTTTTGACCTTTTGCTTATCATCAGGTGATAAAAACTTATTGCAAATGAACCGCCAAAACCACTTTACACACAATTTCATAGAAGCGCTGTTCGCAGACATCCATATTAGATTGAATGTTTAACATACAACACTAAAAACAATTTCTTACCTCGTGTTACTCTGGCAGATGTTTCTCCATTCCGAGTTGCTTCAGGATCGCGTCTTGTTTCATTACAGAGCAGAAAACTTTCCGCATCCTGACCGCCCGCACTGTCGATTCGCTCTTCTGATTGCAAGCTCTCGAAACACTCTAATCCAGTCAGTTCATGGCCGCTAACTTCCTCGATCGTCCGCTTTTTCTCCTCTATTTTCGCTTTCTTTTTCAAATTATCCACTTCAACATTCTCGCCGTTTCGTTTGTTTTTAGCGCTAACCTCTCGATCTTTATTTGCTTTCGTTACAACTGTTTCTTTAACCACCGTACTATTCGCCACCACACTGTTATTAACCTTAGAAACTTCACCATTTCCCTTCGAGTCTAAAACGCTATTTTTTCCGTTGGTTGTTTTCTTTGCGTATCCGTTCATAAGCGGTTTTGCGGCATTCGCTGGCTTATCACATTTGACAGCGTTTGAAGCTGTGCTTTGAGAGGCTGGTTTGTTCTCGCCCTTCCGTTTCTCCCGCTCGCGGTTTATAGGATAAGGGACACACTTTCGACAGGCCCGTATAACAGTCACCCCATCTTTAAACAAGTGCAATATCTTGGCAGGAGCGTTATTCTTCTTCCAAACGCTGTACGACTTTACCGTGTGCTTGCCGCACAATGGGCAAATCAAGCCAGGCAAAGTTTGTCCGTCCGCAGCTCTCGCTTTTAGTCCCATCAAATGATCTGCAAAAGAATGTTCAGTGATTTCAAAGCTAGAAAACCTACACATTACAATGTCCATATCACAATGTGTTGATTTTGTTCGTAGCGAATCTGCGAGTGCAAGTGCAGCTTTCTATTTTCTTTTAACAATGTTTTTTGCCGTTGTTATTAAATAATGACAAAAGAAGAACTTCAAAAGAAAATAGTTTGTGCCATGTTGCCCAATGTTGCGAAGCATTGTAATAGTAAGAAAGTAGACAGGCTGACAAAGAAGGAGCAGGCAATGAATGAATGAATGAATAAATGAACGAATGAATGAATGAACGAATGAATGAATTAACAAATGAACCAATGAATTAAAAAATGAACGAATGAATGAATGAACGAATGAATGAGCCAATGAATTGACAAATGAACGAAAGAATGAAAGAATGAATGAATGAATGAACGAATGAACAAATGAATTAACGAATGGACAAATTAACGAATGAATGAAAGAATGAATTAAGGGAAGAAAAAATGAATGACTTAATGAATGAATGAACAAATAAATGAATGAACGAATAAATGAATGAACGAATAAATGAATGAATGAATGAATGAACTAATTAATTAATGAATGAACGAATGAATGAATGAATGAACAAATGAATGAACGAATTAATGAATGAACGAATAAATGAATGAATGTATGAAGTAATTAATTAATTAATTACCGAATGAATGAACGAACGAATGAATGAACCAATGAATTAACAATTGAACGAATGCATGAATGAATTAACAAATGAACGAATGAATTAACAAATTAACGAATGAATGAAAGAATTAATGGACGAATAAATGAATGAATGAATGAATGAACTAATTAATTAATGAACGAATGAATGAATGAACAAATGAGCGAATTAATGAATGAATGAATGAATTAATGAATGGGTAGATGAATGAATGAATGATTGATTGAAAACACTTAAAAATGGATGCAGATACTCATTGCTTTTCAAAGAGAATATCGCAGCGAATCTTTCAACAAAAACAAAGGTTTTTAACACCTACATTTGAGAACGCTACAGTGCACCATTACCATATGTGTAGATAAACAAGTAATTATTCATCGAAAAAGCGTAAAGTTGGTTACATTCTTTATATCTGCATACCAGAAGAATCTAGCCTTCTGCGCTTATGAGGAATCTCTGGTTTGCAAGCACATTCAGTTCATTCAATTCATTTTGATTTATTTTAACAGGGTTAAAACATTACTAGCCGAATTACATGGATAAATTGCAAATCAACTTGAAGATCCAATGGAAAAGAAAAATGTAGAAAAATACAGGGACTCAGAAGTCAAACGTATTTAAAAATGGCTTTGAAAAAAGCAAACATGTTGAGTTGAGCTAACGTGGATGTTGAGTCTACTAAAGTTTAAGTATGTGCTGAACGTGGATGTAGATTATCGACCTCTAGTATCTTTCAAAACGTATTTCATCTCGTTTTGAAAGTATCTCACAAAGGAGCAGCCTTGATTTCATTGTTGAACTGGCTGCAACCAGTAACTCCTCGATGCTATACAAGCCCAACATAGAATAAGCCAACGTTGTTAAAAAAGTGGAAAATGAAATCTTAGAGGAAGAAACAAAAACAAAGTCACTTACTTGGGTCAGGTCCTTCGCCCTTTTCTCTTTTCGACCTCAGCTCCTCCTCTACCTTCGAAACAGGCAAGTTGACAGTAACGAAGTTATGCACTGGTTTCGACGTCCCATCATACATCACGGCCTTCTTCAGTAACTTGTTCGCCGCCTGTTTCACTTGTTCTTTATTATATTTAACTTTGTAGGTTCGTTTATTCATCTTTACATCGTTTTTTATTTCAAATTTCGAATTAGGCCTTTGAAAGTTGTTCCCATGGTAATAATCTTTAACTGGGCTTCTAGTACTAGTCGTGATTTCTATTTCGCGCTGCACCGCAGGGGCATAATCGTGGTCTTTGTGGATATTCATCAAAATGCTTGACACGTGGTCCTGTCTGTCGCTCGACGGAGAATGCTCAATTGATAGATACCCCGATTCGTTATTTCGCAGCGACACTTCATTGCCATTAAAATCGAATAAATTAGCGTTGGAGTCTTTCTTAACAAACTCATTCCCTCTTTGACCAACTACCGAAACAAGGGGCAACATCACATCGTTGTGTTTCTTTTGATTTACCCTAGCTTCCCTATTTTTGCCATCCAAATTTTCTTCTTTCTCACCATGCCTCCTTCTAACGAAATCCCTTTGCAAAAAATGCCAACTAACGCATGCTCGTTGATCAGTTACTCCCAAGGGGCCACGATCGAAGTTGGGCCTATTTTCAGGCCTGTCTTCCCCGTGCTTTGAACTATCTCCTCTGTACCAGCATGTGCGACAGAATCTAAGGACCTCATTCTCCCAACTGCCATATCGTTTCAAGTGGTCTGGGGCAAGCGATTGCGTAACATTTCGAAACAGCTTGAAAGCGCGATGACGGCAAGCGGAACATTGCAAATAGCTGCGTCCTGTCAAGCCTGCCTCTTTCTTAATCAAGTAGACTAAAAACAAACAGTCAAAATATTTAACACAAATAGTATAGACTTATTAAAAACCACAGTGACTTTAGAGGCATCCAGGCAATGGAGAAGTAGAAAGAAAAAATTGGGGTTTGCTCGATAAATTGAGAATCAGTACTCTTTAATTTTTTATGGTTATGATCAGGCCCGTCGAGAGCATTTATGGGGACTGGGACAAGAAGAAAGATAGGGGACCCGTGATGACGCCATTATTGTAAATGTTAGTGTCATTGTTGTTGCTACTGTAATGAACTTTGTTATAACTTTTTGGGCCCTCCCGCCTTGGATCTTGGGCCATCAGCCCCCTTGTCCCCTCTCGGTTGGGGTTGTTGCGATGTAGAAAAGTGTGCCCCACAAAAATCCGAATTGAATGGGAATCAATCTAAATACATGTTCAACTTGTACTAAAACCACATCTATCTTCCTAGACAATTTTTTGCTGTTTTTTCAAGATGTTTTCTTTAAGTCTCCCCAGTCAAAGAATCATTTCCTAATGAAAACAAAAATTTGAAAAAAGGTTAAGGTTTTCTTACTAACCTTAAAGCTTTCTCAGAGAATTACCAAAATCAAGACGTTTTGGTTCCTAGGGGTCATATACCTCAAATATACCTCAAATAAATTTGTTTTTAAATAAATAACTACGTTTCGAGCATAGCCCGTTATCAAGTCTGACTAGGTGTCATACACCTCAAGTTTAGTTAATAACTGAGTATCGGAAATTTAAACCCAATCAACTTCAAGTGGCGTTTGATAATGCAGGATGCAGGAATGCGACCAACAAAACATAAAAATAAAATAAGCTTGTTTTTGTTCGTCTCAACACAATGAACTTTTATGACTTGAACCTGCAAGATTAAAAGAAACAGCGAGCCTCTTGTCTTGTGATTAAGGCCAAGCTAACATGCTCTTAAAACTCTTTAATTACTAGGCCTGTTCTCAGTCCAAAGACCGTGGTCTTTACGGTTAATTTGAAGCTGAATTCTGCCCCCCCCTCCCTGATAAAGGCGGCATTATCATCTTTAAAATTTCAAACTCCACCCACAAATTAAAAGGGAGCTGAAAAATAACCGTTTAGTTGGTCTAGAGAGCCAGAAAATTTTGTTGGTTTAACGTTTCTACTGCCGGGAATCTGGTAACGAGTTTGAGTCGTGAGGTACACGTGCCCACCAAGAAACAACCAGATTTGAATATCGTGTTGCAATTTTGCCAAACCAGGACGAATGCTAAACATCGGACAGCTGGAACGGAGAGAGCAGGTACTGGGCTTGCCCATTGCCAAATACGGAGCACATGGGTGAAGAGAGACCCTCCTCTTGCGACAAGACATGCTACAACCTCACCTATGGTGCATTTATATTGAGATCTCTTTATGCAATGCAGAGTTAAGGAAAGTGCTAGCTTTTCCCCGGGAAAATTTCCTCAAGCTTTGGAAACCTTAATAAGAAAACTAAGAAAACAAGGCCCGTTTGTTTATACTCTTGCAATTATACTCTTGTTTATACTGTTTATACTCTTGTTTGTAAATAAGCAAAAATCTTACGACTTACCTTTTCTGTTGTTTCTGCCTGGCTCTTGGGGCGAAACTGTCACAATTTCATCTGTTGTGTCATTTCTCAGAAAAGGAGAGATGAATTCGGAATGATCGTCGTCCTAAACAACAAGTTGGGGTTATCAGAGTAAAAAGAAGTTAATGAAAAGTTGAATATTTGTTGATTATAGGAGAAAAGGAGTCATTTTTGGGTGGAATCTTGCTGAATAGGTCTTAAAGTGTTGAAAGAGAAGTGAATGTACTAAGAATCTAGTTGTGGGTGATAAAAAGCAATAGATGTCGAATCGTAAGCATCACACCAATTCATAACTGTATACCAATTCGACTAAAATCACAGTTCAAACTAAACTCGTTGGTAAAGTATGTAAATATCATATGGTGCATGGTGGATTCATAACTTATATGGTGGTGCATTGGGGATGCAAACCTTATATGGTGGTGCATTGGGGATGCAAACCTTATATGGTACATGGTGGATGCAAAACTTATATGGCACATGGTGAATGCATGCCTTATATGGTGGTGCATGGGAGATGCAAACCTTATATGGTGCATGGGAGATGCAAACCTTATATGGTGCATGCTGGATGCAAACCTTATATGGTGGTACATTGGGGAAGCAAACCTTATATGATGGATGGAGGATGCAAACCTTAAATGGTGCATGGGAGATGCAAACCTTATATGGTGCATGCTGGATGCAAACCTTATATGGTGGTGCATTGGGGAAGCAAACCTTATATGATGGATGGAGGATGCAAACCTTATATGGTGCATGGTGGATGCAAACCTTATATGGCATATGGTGGATGCAAACCTTATATGGTGGTGCATTGGAGATGCAAACCTTATATGGTGCATGCTGGATGCAAACCTTATATGGTGGTGCATTGGGGAAGCAAACCTTATATGATGGATGGAGGATGCAAACCTTATATAGTGCATGGTGGATGTGAACCTTAAATTTTATTTGAAAAAAAAACTCGAAATGTATGTTCCATCTTCAATGCCTTCAATTGCAAGACTAAATCATTAGAGCTCCCACCATGAATGACAATCATAATTACAAAACCAGATTAGAAAAGTAATGCCTATATCACATCAGAAATCAGGTAATTTTGCCAAAGCTGAAAAGTAGTCCTTTAATAGTAATGACATTGAGCATAAAACAGGGATGGGGGGGGGGCACTCAAACACAAAATAAATCTTAAATCAAAACTGATTAACCATTTATGCTACCAAAGGTAGGATAAGAGAACATAAGACAAAAAGCATGTTGTAGAAACATTGAGCAATTTTAAATCATAAACAATTACACAGAAAGAATATCAACAGCAGTGAGGAACCCTTTTGATCACAAAAGGGGGAGGAAAAAATCCTCAAAATCCCATTTATATTTAGCGCAATGTGTTACAATCTGACATTTTAATAATCCATTAACAAAGAAAGATGACTTAAAATAAAAAGTATATCTTTAAATACACAAGAATTTAATGTTTGATGAGATGTTGGAGCATGAGGCTTTGTTAAAACAAAAAAGAATGCAGAGGTTGCTGCTTGTGAAGAATGTGACAATTGGTAAAAATCAAAGATTTGATTGCTTTCAAAATGGATATTTTTTATTAATTTCAAAAATTTGAAGGAATAAAGGATTCAAGCACAACTTAGTACTTAGATACGGCAAAAAACATTATCATAATCAAAATGATTTCTTTAGGCATTTCCGAAAGAACTACCAAGGGATATAAAATCAAGCATAACATGTGAGACTATATGCAAGCTTCTAAGTTATGTCTGTTTTGACCAAATTCTTCGCTCACATTAACCTAGAAAGTTTTTTGCGATGGGGAATCTATCTCACAGCCAAAAGGCATCATGGTAAAAACTTTTCCATTTTCTTGCTGCTTCAGTTCCCTACAAAAGACTTCAGTACCCAAAGAACACCAGTTTAGTTTTCTGTAACATTGCATTAATTTTTTTTATTTTGTTTTGAAAAATTATGTATTTTATTACATGTAGTTTTGTTTTTTGTATGTATATACTGTAGAATTTTAAATTGTATGTGGAGAATTTGAATTATATATATGAACTGAACTGAAAGACTTGCAAGACCCTATAGAAATGGCAGCTACTAAGAAATCTCAGCATCCAGGCGATAAAAAAACAAAAGAGAATGGATAAATAATGGTATATAAACAGGAGTATTCCATAGGACTTGTCTTGCATGTTCAGTATATCAAGAATGTTTATGTGCAAAATTTTATTTGCAAAGAAGGATAGATGAATGATGTAAAGAAGGTCACATTACATTGGCATCATAAAAGTAATCTGTCTTCAAATATCAATTGAGCAGGAAAAAAGTTAGAGCTTACTATATATATACCAGTGTGCAATGTAAAAATGACAAAGCAACAAATATAAGAAAACTCCATCTAGATACAAGAAATTAGACAGAAATTTCAAGAAAAAGATGTATTAGGTGTTTGGTCAAATGGAACGATTAAAAACAAATTTTATATTGTGCAATTTTTTGCAGTTCACAAGAGTTTTTTGGTCTCTGTGACCACAATGAATCATATAGGTCCATTGGGTAGACATACCAAAAAACATTAAGAGGGCAAACCTTAGAAGAGGCCTGGGCAATGTAAAGAGACTCTTAGGAATGCTAAATCCAACATATAACTAGGTATAACATATAACATATATCTTATGTAAAGCCCTGCATTTAACTAGGTAAATACCAAAAAGCAGCTTTGTCAGTTTATATATATTTGATCAAATGATAAAACCATGATGTTGGCTTATTCTTTATATTTTTTTCTTGAGGTTTGCAGAATATGACCTTTTTTGACAACTTGTGGGATGTGCTGAAATTTATCCAGTATATAATTTAATATATCTAGTGTTTAGGTGGGTCCTCGATGCCACCATGCGTGCATCCTAGGTGCACAATTTCCAGGCATTGTATTCTAGGTTTTGCCAATCATTTTGCACAACTAGCTTGACCATTTTATAAACTACAATGCAAATGGTGGTAGGCACCACCTGAACATATTTTTGGCAGAAATTGTCATTCTCAGTAGCAAGTAAGATACCCATGGTGTGATATTGTCCTGCCAAACTTTTATTTACAAAAAATCAGCTTCTTACCAGCATACACAATACCTTGATAAATTTTCTATTTCGATGATTTTATCATTTGAAACAAAGTTCTAATGAACCAATTTATTAATGAACTTGATTTCAAAACATTAAAAATATACGAATAAAAAACGAGTTTGTGAAGAACTAAATTTTAATAATTGGTATCAGTTCAACTTACTGGTCGTTCAGTAAATTTTCAATTGATATTTTCAACAAAAAAATGAGTACTGGTTTGTTTGTTTCTAAATTAATCCGAATGTCCAAACATCGTTAGGAGAATTACAAACAATCCGAGTACGAGGGTACATTGACGAAATAATCTTGGGATATTATACAAACCTGTAGACTGACCATTCTTATTGAGCGTTCTTCTTCTATCTCCACATGTAATTAGGATTCAGAAGTGCTGTAAAATGACACGAAAGCTTTGAGTAAGGCTGAGCATACCAAATGAAATAAAAGCGCGGCTTCACTCACAGCCAGGCCTAACTCAACTCGTCTAGGCCGGTGAAGAAACATCATCGCTTTTGTTAGATATTTTACATTAAACAGATCTATTTTGGAAAATCAGAAGGCGTAAAATATTGCGGAATCATATGAGCATACTCATCTCACCTTTAATCCACCCTCCCTCTCCAGTATTGATACAATCGCTTTCTTTCTCCAAATATCGGCAATGCCAGATTGTTGACGGGCTCTTCCCTTTGCGCGAAACGCGGCAAAACTTGATTGCGTCAAAGAGGCCTGGGTCGAGTTGTGTCAAATACGAAATTTGAGATCCCAAAAGCAGCTCTTTCTCGAAGCTGGGTAGCAGTGGCGGCTCCAGCCTGGGATAAGTGGGGGGGGGCAAAAGGTGTGTCAGGAACCACGCCATTTTGTACCACGCCCTTTCCCCTGTTTGAAACTGTTGTCTCCCAAAAAATGTCATTTACATGTGACGATCTAGATAACGTACATACCACCACCCCCCCCCTTGAAATTTTCTTATCAGGTTTGCAAGAATCTCAAGGACCAACTTTCTGAAAAGGTGGGGGACTAGTCCCCCCATTCCCCCCCCGTGGCTCCGCCACTGCTGGGTAGGGTAGGGGATGTTGCGAGAAGCAGAAAGTGAATGGTGTGATGTGAATAGAACTGGGCGGTTTTCATGTGGCAGTGCTTTGTCAATCTTAGTTCTCCATCAACTCCTTTTTTATCTACAATTTGTATCAATTTATTTTCTTTGAAGTTACTTTTATCTGTCTGTGAGTCTGTTGAAAGGTTGGCATTAGAATTTTTTGGAATTTTGTCAGGTTTCTATCAGAATGATTCAAGGAAGACTCTTAATCAGGGATATTTCTGACAGAAAAAGAAATTACAGTTATAATAAAAATTATAGTCATCAGATATTTTAAAAAACAAGATCGACAAGTTGTAATGTAGTGACCATTGTCATACCGTAAAATGTCTTCTATTATATAATTGTCATTAACACCTTTGATTGTCTCCGTAACTACAGTAACGTAATCAACAACACTTTTGTAGCGTCCCCTCGTTTTATATGTATACGCCCAGTTTTGTAATTAGTTCAGTTCAGTTAGAATCAAGACACGCAATAGTCACATCGTTTTATTTCTGGCTCCGTGTTCTCTACACGTAAAATAAGACTCGCTGGGTTTGGAAATAACACGTTAGTCGATTGATGGAATTATTAGTAAACGAATTACACACAACAATGCACAATTCTCGTCTCACTAAAATAAGACAACAGCAAATATTCTATAGATTTTTATACCACCTGTAATTGCATCACGGAGTACAGTTTATTCTGCAGTTGCGTTATGTTTATTCCAGAGTGGAGACTTTCTTTAATGTGCATAATCTGTCAATGTTGTTTTTCTTAACCAATATACCTAAAAGTTTTTACAATCACATGCCAAGATATATATTGCATATGGAAAAATTGTGTAAAACCGCTTAAAAAGGGGGTTTTACCAAAGTGAGTTCGTAGATCGCTCGCAGAAACGTACACGATGATTACGGAAAAAATTGTTCTCCAATTCTCTAATGTTTTACACCTATTCTAATTCATCAGTTCACGGCAAACGACTGAAAATACCTTAAATAGCTAACGACGATAATGTAACGGCAAACACAATTCTGCAAGTTAGCGACAAGACACACTGAGTTCGACAATCTTACGGCAAGATTAAATCTAACTATAAATCCCCCCCTTATATACTCTAAGGTGAACCTTAAAATAATAACTATGTAATACAGACACTGATACAATCACAGTGCAATGATGTAATTGTCACGTGATATGTCCGCGTGGAGACCCTGTGTCGTGTTTAGATGTGTTACAGACTATAAGCCTACATTTACACGACCCTATTATTTTTATTATTATTTTTATGGAATCATAATGGCAATACATTCTATCTTTACCAAAACTTGATTTTTCATTTTTTTCAAAGCTGTTCAAGCTTTTCGATGAGTTCTTTTCTTAAGATTATTCTCTTCATATATTTTCCACCCCCTCTCCCTTTGTACGCATTCGTACTTCTTTGGTTACCCCTCTCCCCCTTTGTGTATGTATCTTTTGAGTCAACCTCCTCCTCTTTATTTGCAATTTGACAATAAAAGTACACACATTAGTCTATCGAAAACACTGCACAAATTTATCAACATGAAGTTAAGAGTTGCACGAGGCAACACGGTGAAAAGAAATGTGTTTGCAATGAAAATACAAAAAAAGATAATACGTAATGTTTACACTAGGGTTCATAACAAACGATCATAATTGTGTTGATGAATCTGCACCTAATTGTGCAAATAATCTGTACCATATTGTGCAAATAATTTTATGCCCATATTGTGCAAATAATCTGTACCATATTCCATGGTTTTGAAAGAACACTATCCAAAGATAATTTTGCATACATACTTTAACTTGACCAGCACCCTTCCACCTTGTCGCAAACATGCGTTTTTTGACGAAACTCTCCCCCCTTTCCCCCCTGTCCTGCGAATATACTATGTCAATGGTCCCGCAACGTTTTTCTAAACTACGAAGGAGCTTTCGCAGTTTAGATTCCTGCCTTACGGATTTAATCAAAATAGACTATGAAAGTCTACTTAGCCGAGCAGCTATAACAATTCCAATTCATATCAGTTCCCTGAAAGATAAAATTAGCAAATTTTTTATTAAACAATAAAGCAATAATAATAATAATAATAATAATAATAATAATTCATTTATTTACAGTAGGCGTTCTTTACAGTTGTAGCTAAAACGATAAGCTAATTAAAGCCTACTATTTACAGGAATAAAAATGATAATATTATACAGCTATTTAAAGAAATAGATTAAAATACCTAGGATCTAATTAGATAAATGGTTTAAAATATTAATGTTAGACAATTCATGTCAAGAACCCGACCTGTGCTACAAAGGTTCTACATAGCCTTCAGCTGCAATTATCCTTCCATTGTTTGACCTTTACTTAAAAGGTATGAAGAGTAATTAGGTTTTTCAAGTTTTCTGGTAGATTGTTCCAAAGCTGGCATCCTAAATAGGACAAGCTTTCGATTCCATGAGTGATGGTTCGATTTTTTGGGATTTTCGTTGATCTACCGTTTCTAAGATGATAGTGGCTGCTCTTTTGTAGTGGCTGCTCTTTTGTATGAATACCTCATTCATAAAGCTTGGATTGAGTTTATGTACAGTTTTGTAGATCTCAACCATTAGTAGCAAATAGATTGGTTAGGCTTTCAATACTTGTCTCAACCAAGGTAAGAGTGAGTTTGAAAGTTATTATATTCAAATGAAGATGTTCCAATTGCATTTCGGCACGTGTAGTTCGAGGATCATTTTGCTCATAGGGTTACCTAGGTCATCTAATAATATCCGAAAACGAAACAAATAAGAAAATGGACAGAAGAATAGCTGCAAGAGGGTAACAATTTGGGCAATATGTCGATGCATGGACACTGGCATGGAGAGAGAAATGGTTAATATCACATCTCTGAACAAGTGGACAAATGGAAACTTAAGATCACGATCTAAATGGCTTGACATTGTAGCAAACTCAGAAAAATATGTGTGCAAAATGGGCAAACCATGTAGTCAAATGGAGGCAAAAAAAGTGGACAGAGAAGATACTAGTTTCAATAAAGAGAATGCGAAAGACTTGAAAGGGGGCAAAAAGATGACCTGCAGAACATCACATGTATCACTAGGGTGGGATGCATTAAGTATAATGCAAACAGTTAAATGATCAATGCAAAGGTGTCTTAAAAAGCACAAAATGTGATATTTTTCTGAAAAGCAAAATCACAACTGCGGGAAATATATTTGCTGCTATAAACGTCCATGAGCGCCATGTCTTTTTAGATTAGCAAAATCCAATGGGAATCTTCTGCCAGCAAACGAAATGCTTGATAAATTTTTCAGCAAAAGTTTTAGGATTATAGCTTATGGATAGTTATTAAGAGGATTTCTTCTCATTTTTTTCTGCTCCACCCTACTTATTAGCAGCCCCAGTTGCTTGAACTAATTTCTTCGGCCCCTTGATACTTCCTTTCTTGCCCGGTGGTCAGAATAGCAAACTTTATTATCTATGCAGACTATATTTGCTCCCAGTTTTCTTTGATGCCTTGAGGTATACGACTTTCACTTCTAATAAAAAAATCAATTGAATCTTCTTATAAAAATCAGTAAATTTAAGTTCATGTTGTTAATCTGTTGTTAATTTTTCTGAAAATGCGAGGCTGGATTGTTGATGTGGTCAGTTCAATAGAACTTCGTAGAAATATAGTACAAATCAACTCTTGAACCAGCAAAAAATGTATCAATCAATTTTGCCTAAGTGGCACTTTCAAAAAACCTACCGTAATGCCTCGAACAAGCATCGGCCTCAAATAAGAGGCCCCCCTTGAATAAGCGCCTATCCTAGAGGTCAAGTTATTGAATACGCGTCCACCCTAGAGGTGAAGTTGATGAATAAGAATAAGATTGAATAAGCTCCCCTAGAATAAGCGGCCATCACTATAAGCATCTATCCTTCAACTATCAAAAACGGGCGCTTATCCAAATTTTCAACGAAAACATAATTTTAAGGCATTTCAACATATAAGATTAATGAAAAACACAAGCTGCACCCAAATCTACTTTTGAAATAAGCGCCCATCCTTGAGTCTCACAAATTAAATAAGCGCCTGGGCGCTTATTCGAGGCATTACGGTAATCGAGTACGAAATAATGTCATGCGACGATTGAGAATGAAACTCTGGTTTAAACATGCAACTACGATACATAATAGTTTTGATTAAATGCTGTGAAGCGCTAAAAGATGTAAATCTTGTCCATAAGAGTTCGTCTTAATTTTCTCTGTTGCTTCGAACAAATGGATAGGGCAATAGTCCTAAACGATTATAAACTAGTAAACTAGGCTCGTCTCCCAGACAGTGTTTACAATTCTCAAAATGTTCACATGATGCAACCAAACGAGACAAATCTCTACTAACCGACACAAAGAAAAGGTGGAAAGTAAAACGGTTCTCTTCATGGCAATATTTCGTTGCCAATTTCATTTAATTCAGATCAGAGAGACATAAAGAAAATACTATCTAGTAGAAAAAATATTCAACAATTTTCTAAAACTAATTGAATGTAAGGAAGATCACAGTAAAGATTGTTTTTAACAACATTTTCTTCTAAACAGGATACAAAAAGTTACAAGAAGTCTGTTTGCTACGTCATAAACGATTTTCACGATATCAGCTGAAAGAATGTCCCAAAATCAAATCTCTTGGCAGCCTTCTTGAGGAAATCCCCATTTCTGTTGATACCAATGTACCATGGGGATTTTTTAAAATTAAGCCGGTATACCGTGTGGAAATTTTCTTCCTGAAACTCTCTGAAGATGCATTCCTTTTTTAATTCATTCTGAAAAAGCAGACGTAAATGTAAGCCAAGGACAATTTCCAATGATGCTATCAACAAGCAGCTGTAGTTTCATTTGAAACCAAACAACGTCAAAGTTTATAAGCAGCGCTTAGAACAGAAGAAAACTTGAACAGAAAATTGAGCTAAAATACAAGAAACACGAAAAACTGTTAAATTTCCTTTTACTGAATCAGTGAATAGAAAGATACAGGCTGTCTAATGTCGAGGCTGTGTTTTTCTCAATTTGTCCTTTAATCGCTATACTGCAGAACATCATTAGATGTGTATAATGCAGGTATTGCTTTTTAATACAACAAAGGATGTATTCTTCAATTAAAAATATATTCTCAATAAAACTAATCGTAAAGACAAAATTATCATTTTAAATCAATCGTGCTTTCACATCATCGATATCTTCAATATAAAATTTTTCCTCTGTACCATATGAATTGGCTACACTTATTCTTTTGCTCATCACAATATCTTATGCTTTTAATAAACCAGCCATTTTCGTAAAGGTTTGGAATTACATTATGCAGTCCCTTAGCTTTTAGCACCTTCAGAAAACTGAACATAGCATCCCAAGTAAAATCATCCCACACTTGGCATTAAAAAATTCAAGCAAATCATACAGGCTTTTACCGTATCCCAGTTCAGCTACTACCACTGAGCGTGGATGTTTTGTGACAGGCATCTTAATATCAAGATCAGCCACATTCACAAAACGGCACTGAGTATCGCATACAAGGATAGTGCTTCTGACTTTGATGCACTTTTGGCCAGAGATAATTCTGTATCTGTTCATAAACGGAATCTACAGTTGCTGAATGCAGAGATTTACAAAACTAAATCAAATATCCCCCCAGCCTCTATGACTGAGATTTTCATTGAAAAAAATCCCCCCTTTCACCTATCAACCTCCCCCTATCACCTATCAACCTCCCCCCTACCACATATCAACCTCCCCCCTTTCACCTATCAACCTCCCCCTATCACCTATCAACCTCCCCCTATCACCTATCAACCTCCCCCTATCACCTATCAACCTCCCCCTATCACCTATCAACCCCAAGAACCAATACAAATTAACATGAAAAATTGGTTTCAAGAGTTCCGTGAGTGAGTTGCAATATTTATGATGTTTACAAGATAATTAGCTTAAAGCATGAATATACTTATTATACTCGCAGACATCTTCACTTCGATACAAGACATTAGCACCTGAACTCATGCAAGCATAACTGCTATTAGTCCATCCTCATTCAATCCCGCTCCGGACTGGCATAACCACTCCGCCCGTGCCAGAGCCACGTTCTAAACTTACTGACCTCTGCGCCCACGCTCTGTGATAAAAACTCATCAGATGCTTGGAACGGATAAATCACAACGTTAAGTACTCGCGCTATGTGATAAGCTACCAATCTCATAAGCTACATAATGGATCTTAAATCATCCTTATCATAATTCTTTGCATCTAGAATGTTAGCTGCGTTCTAAAATGTCATAGGTAATCTGTCAAGAACACAGATACCCTTATGCGGTTTCTATCTATAAGATCATGTGATTTGCATCCTGAGTCACGATTCGCGAACATGGAAGAATCCGGTTTCTCCAAAAACACTACCGCGGGCCCCCTGGGAACTTATTGTACTAAAACCTTATAGTAGTCCACAATCTAGTGATAAATTAGGGTTCCCTCAAATTGAATTAAGAAGAAAACTGTGTTCTCAATGCTTGGCGCGCACCCAGAGTCCCCGCTCATTATTAAAGTACCGCTTCCATGGTTTTTTACGTATAAAAATGTGCCGCATAGTACGTTTACCTGCATTTATTCCGTTTGGGCCTCCCAGCCATGCAAGGCTAATGATACACCACAGCATGACAGGTTTCCTAATACAAAATGGAACTCCAAAATCTTTAAAACGCCATTGAGAAGTAATTTTGTCAAAAGAACATAGCCTTTCAATGCGAAAACTTAAACTGCGCGCGCTAAATCAACGAGAAGATAAACTACCAAAACTAGCAAGCCTTCCTGAGCCCGCATTCAGTTAGGCCTCGAGTCCGCAGTTTGATGAGAATTGACTGTTATAATGGTGTTCAGAATGAGTGTGTGGGTGAACACGCTATAGGCTGTCTTATTTTGAGATAATAACCGTGTAGTTTTCTGTG